TTGCCTCACAGCAAGAAGGTCGCTGGTTCAAGTCCCGGCTGGGTCAGTTAACATTTCTGAGTTTGCATGTTCTCCCCGGGTGCTCAGGTTTCCCCCACAGTTCAAACACATGCGCTATAGGTGACAAGCGCAGTTTGCAACAACAGGAGTGATCCGATCAAATGTCCCACTGAGCAGCCCCTTTCATGCAGTTCTTATACATACTGTCTTCCTCCCTTAGGGTTGACAACACATCATATCTCCCCAATATCTACAGTTTGATCATTAGTCTCAATTTCGTCAGACCAGGCTGACGTATCCCCTAAGTTTAGTTTTTAATTGTTATTTAGCCCAAGGATAACCTTACCATGTCGACTACAGATAAGTCCCTTGTGTCTTATGGATAATAGCCCCTCTATAGTCTTTCTCTATGATCTTTTGGGATGATACGAGTGCTCTGGTGTGGGTGCCCCCTTGAAGACAGCAGGGAATGTAATGACCTAATAGCTATCTCCCTCAGGCGTATTGTATCTCATAGCCGCTTTTCCTAATAGAAGCGGATATTATGAGGTAGTAGAAGTCAGGTAAAACATCACTTACATAGATAATACTGAGATATGCATCTGAACGATTACACTTCCAATATAATAAAGCTATCAGTAAGACAGATTAGTCTGAGCAGCATCAGTAAGACAAATATAGTCTGTGCAGCACCATATGACATTGGAGCACCATATAACACTCATTCAGTCACAAAGCATATTGTTACACTTATATTGGTATATATATATATTGTTATACATATAATATTATTAGATATATTGTCAAATTTCACACCAACAGTTTTGTTCCGTGTGGTCATGTGCAAGAACTAATGCTCCATGATGACCAGATTCAACACTTTGTAGTGCTAAAAACCGCAGTTCTGCCTAGCCAAAGACAAGGAAAGATGACGGAGCTGTACAAGGGCTGGGTAATCATCAACAAGCAGAACAACGGCATTCTGACAGGGAACTGCACCTGTACGGCAGGGTATGTGCACGTACATGTCTCCATTTCATTCTGAGCATTCAGTGTCCGCAGTTTAATTCACCATATGTAACTGTTTTTGCTGAAAATCATTACTGGAATCAATTCGAGTAATGTATGATTCAGCACAGCGTGAATTTACCTTATATGAAATGAGAACTGCAGAGTGCAACATTTTTAATTAGGTCCTCACTATACTCAGCTCTAATGATGGCTGTTAGCCAAAGACGTCTGCAGTTGGCATTAAAGCAGTGTGGTGTACGGTAAAATTTAAGTTTTCTATATTTAGACTTTCGATTTTGTCATCCTACCGCGCAACAACAAATTGTATGCTATTAAAACCAGCCTCTTTTTGCAACCCGTATGTGCAGTCGAACCCGTGTGACGTCATGTGTGACGTAGGTTGGTGATTCCCCCATCCAATATTATATTTGTGCATAAGCAGTACATTAGATTAGTCAGTACTGAAGCCAATGTAACAAAATAACTCACAATAAGAGTTCAACAAATTTATATGTGGGGTAAAAAGAATAAAGAACATTTCCAAGAATAGCAAAAATCAAAAGAAACAAAAAAAAAATTATAATTTTGTTGAAATATTGTAGTTTGTAATTAAAAAAAATATTTAGCATTAATTTTAATGTATTATCTCTCCATTTCTGAAGATGTTCTGTGACTAAAATATTATTTTAATAAATACATCTGTTTAATAAATCTGTTTTGCTCAAATGCACCAATATTTATGACCTATATTCTCTGAGAAATGCATAAAAATATTCCTTTTCAAAATAGGGTGTACTCATTTATACAGAGCACTGTATAAAGCTTTAAATAATCGACCTCTTGTTTACCTAACCAACCTTCTGTCTCGGTACAATCGGACGTGCTTTTTAAGATCTTAAAACTCCGGGTTCCTGGTTGTACCCACCAAAGGAGGTTGAGCATTTTCATATATTTCCAGGAGATTGTCATTGATAAATGGGGAAAAACCATGAAACGGTTACTGAACTTTAATACACAAAATAATAACATCCCGTCTATTTCAATAACAAATAACAATATATATATATAGAGCTGCACATCAATGGATTTGCTCTTCAGTGTTTGGACTCTCAGTAGTGATTATTAAATCACACTCACTGAACTAAACTGAACTTAAACACTGAAAACTACTCTGTTCAATTTACTATGATATTCTATGTGAAGCACATTTTAAATGACACTGTTTCTTATCAATGCGGGTTACTCTGCATTCAGACAGAAGTGGCGCGAGTATAGTGTTTTGCACATTTGACATGATGCACATATCGCGTGTTTGGCACGAAATGCTCAAGTTCGAAAGTCTGAATTTCAGCGGACATTCAAGCCGCGTTGACCAATCAGGAGCTTGCTCTTGTGGGGGCGTGATTATGATGTTACGCCTGTAGTTGGTGTTTTGGGGGATAATTCTCCTGCCGACACCGACAACAATTCATCAAACTCTGCTCGGCTCAGTCAGAAGCACCGCTGAATGTTTCCATCGTCCAGGTACAGTTTCTGGATGAGGAGTTCATGAGCTCACAGAGCTGCTGCACCTCTGAAAGGATCTAGTGGACTCAGACTCTGCTCCAAATGAATCATCGTGTTTTTCAGCCTTCATAGAGCACATAAACACAGCTATTCTCTTAATAAAATCCATGTTAACCATTTAGCAACAAAGCCATGGTCACCAGGCAGACAGAAGCCTGCCCTTGACGTGAATCCTCGTCTATTGCTCATTGAATTTGACGTGTGAATGAAGCGAGTAAACTCAAAATGTTAAAGCGTCTATTTACGCGCAAATGGCACGATGTGTCCGTGCTTTCCACATCTGGCGTGAACAGCATTAGAAAATATCATAAATAATTGGAAGTCCAGCAACTGCAATACTGGGTGAGACTGTGTTAGTCACATTAAGAAGGTCGCTGGTTCGAACCTCAACTCAGTTGGCGTTTTTCGGTGTGGAGTTTGCATGTTCTCCCTGCCTTCGCGTGGGTTTCCCCCGGGTGCTCCGGTTTCCCCCACAGTCCAAAGACATGCGGTACAGGTGAATTGGGTAGGCTAAATCGTCCGTAGTGTATGAGTGTGTGTGTGAATGTGTGTGTGGATGTTTCCCAGAGATGGGTTGCAGCTAGAAGGGCAAGCGCTGCGTAAAAAAACAACTTGCTGGATAAGTTGGTGGTTCATTCCGTTGTGGCGGCCCCGGATTAATAAAGGGACTAAGCCGACAAGAAAATGAATGAACGACTGCAATAATAAAACTCTTGGGAACAACTGTGGTCAGAACCAAAGTTCACAGGGCTGTGTTCCCTGGACTCCTCTCGAGCGCTGGACTTCTACATACCGATTGCTTGCCACAGAACCGCATCATAGCTCATAACCATTGAAAATAAATGACTTCCGGCTACTTTGACGCTCTCAGTGTGAAAGCACAGAGTAAAATAATAACCACCTAAAATTAAAAAAGTAAAAATTAGGCTTGAAGAGAACGGTATAAAGCAGTGGTCTCAAACTCAATTCCTTGAGTGCCGCAGCTCTGCACAGTTTAGCTTCAACCAGCTCCAACTCACACCTGCCTAATAGTCTCTAGTAGTCTTGAACACCTTGATTGGTTGCATCAGCTGTGTTTGATTAGGGTTAAATTGAAACTGTGCAGAGCTGCGGCCCTCCAGGAATTCAGTCTGAGGCCTATGGTATAAAGCAGTGGTCTCAAACTCAATTCCTAGAGGGCCACAGCTTTGCATAGTTAAGCTTCAACCAGCTCCAACTCACACCTGCTCAATAGTCTTCAGTAGTCTTGAGCACCTCGATTACAGGGATTAGCTGTGTTTGATTAGGGTTGAATCAAAACTGTGCAGAGCTGCGGCTCTCCAGGAATCCAGTCTAATGCCGAGTTCAGACTGCATGATTTTTAAAGTCGTCGTGTCACAGATGTTTTCACACTGCTTGACTATCTGGGCTGGCGTTTCGTCGCTGCTTTGTTTACACTGCAAGATGGATCAGCGACAGGGGCTTTCACATTGCATGACTTTACTATAGGAAGAATCGCCAACAACTTCGTCCAAACTACGTCTCACAGCCAAAAACACGTCGTATATCTTTTGTTATTAACTACATAATGAGAAAGAAGCCTTTAATGGGGTAGAAAATGTACATGTTTGCTCACCTGGGTTTTAAGGGATTTAGCCATTTCTCCTCAACGTTGATAATAAACTAATTTCTTTCTGTATGAAACGTCAAACAGACACGGGTGCTCCTGAGTCCTGTCAAACCTCCACTAGTTTTTCCTCCATTTCGTGGGTCCAAATAAACCGAAAATGAGCGCTGTTAACTTCTCCCCAGCCTCCCGCTGGCCTGCAGCAGGTATACACATACACACACACAAGTGAACGCTGCGCTCTCATTGGCTGTAGGCGATCGCTGATGTTATTTTCAGTCAAAACTCACACAGCATGATTTGAATCACTTCAGCTCCAGATATTCAGCACACCAAATATCTTACAGGCATCGGCGACTCATCGGCGATTCTCTCAGATCGCGTCTTTGATAGTTCACACTGTGTGATTGTCACTCACGTGCACGAGCACCGATTTGCCTGTGATTTCAGGCATTTATCGGCGATTTCTCAAAACCTGTTGGCGAGCCAAAATCGGGGCTAAAATCACGCAGTCTGAACTAGGCATAAGACCTATGGTATAAAGCAGTGGTCATCAATCTTCCTGGAGGACCGAGTCCCTGCAGGGTTTAGCTCCAACTTGCTTAAACCCACCTGCCTGGATGATTCAAGTATACCTAGTAAGAGCTTGATTAGCTTGTTCAGGTGTGTTTGATTAGGGTTGGAGCTAAGATCTGCAGGACACCGGCCCTCCAGGAACAAGTTTGGTGACCACTGGTATAAAGAGAAAGCACAATGACGGAATCCCAGACATTTCAGGAAGTTTACAAATTAAGGCCATACAACCCAAACTGAGGATGCATCGACATCGTCAACTATCAAATGAGATGTTTAATGAAAACAACGTAGAGTGTTCAGGTAGGTGAATATTGTTTAAGTGTGTAAAACTCTTTACTAACAGAGAACATGAATCTGTCTTCTCCTTTTATGAACTCCAAGATGTTTCTTCAGCTGTGAAGGCCTCAAAAATGTTTTGCCGCAGTGATCACAGGTGTGCGTTTTCTCTCCAGTGTGGATCATCATGTGTTGAGTAAAGGATGACGAGTGTCTGAAACTCTTCCCGCACTGAGGACATGTGAATGGTTTCTCTCCAGTGTGAATCCGCTCGTGTTCTCTTAAATGTGCCTGATGTGCAAAACTATTTCCACACCAAGAGCATGAATGCGGTTTGTCCTTTGTTTGAACGCTTCGGTGGACCGTCGTGGCTTCAACAACTTCTTCACTTTCCTCCTCCTCCTCATCCTCCTCCTTCACAATCAGGTCTGAAAATAAAGTAATGAAAAAGACACAATCGTCAAATTGCAATGCAGTTTTATCCTCTTAAGCCCCGTAAAAAAGGGCCCCTTGAAACAAAATCTAAGCTGGAGATGAAAAAGAAGGATTTCGCAAAAGACAAAAATTAAACATATTGAGACTATATCAAGAGTTCACACTTGTTTGGCATGCTGTCCTGGGAGAGAGAGCCCCGAGCTTAAGGGATCCTCGGGCCTAGGGCTCCCCCCTTTCGCAGGGCGAAATTTTTTAAGCTGCGTCACGCTGATTAGCTCCTTGCCTGTATTCCAGTTTAGAGACTGGTTGTCTGAATCTGCGAGTGCATCGTGACGTCTCTTGAGTGTGCTGCATTAATTCATGAGAAAGACTTGGTTCAAGCCAATCAGCGCGCTCTATTGTGTCTGCGGTGCAACTTCATTAATATGCATGATAGCTTCGAAGACTGTTTACCTGTTACAGTGTTCAGACGGCAGAGAGACGCCACGTTGTGTTGCCAAAACAAGTGGAAGAACAAGAGTTGTTTGTAGATGTTTATAAATGAGAGCGCAGCTGGACTCACGTGTGCATTACAATGCATGCGACAGAAATACGTTTGTGAGGAATGTTTTTAACCCGAGAGCTTTTCTCATCTGGAAATGGTAAAATCCGGATTTGCTGCTCGTCTCCTTTAAAAAAAGATGCGGCTCCAGTTGGTGTTGACTGTCCTGTCTCTACAGATTTGGTAGGTGTGTGATCAGTGGTCTTTGTTTATTTTATTCAGAGGCAAAGTTAGTTCGTGTCGTCAGCAGTACTCTTTCAGTTTTTAAAGACAGACCTTAGTCAAAATGATTTAGTTACTATGTTTACATTACGTCAATATCATTACAATATTATAAACTGAAAGATTGGTTGTAAATGCTGTTAGTGTAAACATGTAAACACCGCAATTAAACTATTACCGCTGTGTAGGATTTTCGACGCATTTTGTGACAGGATAGTCTATACACAGCTTTCTAATGCTGCGTTCACACCTGACGCGGAACGCGCGTCAAGCGCGAGTGATTTACATGTTAAGTCAATGCAAACGCGCGAATAGACATCCTGCGGTGCGATACGCGCGAATGACGCAAATTGCACGAATGGCACGGGGCGAATTGAGCGTTTTGCGCGTTTGACGCTCTTAACGTGCGTTTCGCGCGAATCTCTCGAATTCGAAAATCTGAACTTCAGCGTACATTCACGCCGCGTTAATCAATCAGAAGCTTGCTCTTGTGGGGGCGTGATTGTGACGTAGAACCTGTTGTCGGTGTTCCGAGGGAAATCCTCCAGCCTTCACCGACAACAGTTCATCAAACTGGGCTTGGCTCAGTCAGAAGCACCGCTGAAAGCCTCCGTCATCCAGGTTCAGTTTCTGGAGAAGTTTATGAGCTCACAGAGCTGGATGCACCTCTGAAAGGATGTAGTGGACTCAGACACGGCCCTAAACATATATCAAATATCTTGTTTGTCACGGGGGCATGCATGAATTGTTCCTGAATAAAAATGAAAAAGTCAAACTGCAGTTTGTCCACCCTTTAATAATTTGCCAAAAATTTGATTACAGATGTCCATGTAAACACAGTCACTGTCTTTCTGCCCTGCGTCTGTGTGTTTGTTTTGAAAATCAGCACATGCCCAACTGGAAACTCCCATTTTTATGCTAATTTTATGCGCTTTTCACTCCCCCGACAAGCCCACCTAAACAGAGCTAGACACACCCACTTTCCTGACTTTTTCCAAAGTAGAGGTGTGAAAACACCCTGCTGAAATGGGGGTATTGTGGCCCTTTAAAAATGTTTACTAAATGAACTCCAGTCGAAAACTGTGTTTGCCCTGTCTGTCCTTCTCTCACTTTCTCGTACAAAACTTAAACCAGTCCAATAAAGGCAAAGCAAACCATCACAAACGACAGTAGGGGTGAAATCAGCGAATGTACACGTTTAAACATATCAACATATGTAAACTGTACATGTGTTTAAGCACTATTAATCAATTAAATTAAATCAAATTATGGCTCTCATTCATTGAATAAATAGTATTGAACTGAACTGCTCAGGGGCAGCACAGTGGCGCATTAGGTAGCACAATCGCCTCACAGTAAGGAGGTCGCTAGTTCGAGCCCCAGGGCTGGGTCAGTTGGCATTTCTGTGTGGAGTTTGCATGTTCTCCTCGTGTTGGTGTAGGTTTCCTCCGGTTGCTTCGGTTTCCACCAAGTTCAAACACGTAGTGTAGGGGAATTGGGTAAGCTAGATTGTCTGTAGTGTATGTGAGAATGAGTTTGTATGTGAATCCACTGTTTTAAACATATGCTAGATAATTGGCAGTTCATTCCGCTGTGGCGACCCCAGATTAATACAGGGTCTAAGCCAAAAAGAAAATGAATGAATGAGGCATACAGATCTTATAACATGAAACCAGAACATACGACCCCTTTAAATATGTTATCAACTCCACAATTACCCTAAACAATATAACCCGGAAAGGTAGATGATCTACTTACTGTGAATCTTTTTTGTGTGTCTTTGCAGAGAAGATGACTGTGTGAAGCTCATCCCACAAACAACGCAGTGAAACGGTTTCTCTCCAGTGTGAGTCCTCTCATGCTTTTTCAGGTTCCCTGAATGACTGAAACTCTTCTCGCAGTGTGAACACGTGTACGGTTTCTCTCCATTGTGGATCATCATGTGATAATTGAGAGTGTACTTGTTCTTGAAACTCTTTCCACACTGACTGCAGATGAAACCATTCACGGTTGTTATGTTCATTAAAATACTTTGTTCAGTCTCGGATAGAGTGTTTTCTTCACTTTTGACCTGATGTTTCTCCTCATCTTCACTCAGTTCTTCACTCTCCTCCTTTACAATCACATCTGAAAATTAGGCAAACAAATTAAAGAGGCTAGTTTTGAACAGTTCACTAACAGCAGATGTGAGCAACTAACTATAGGTGCAAACTGTTAAATAGCATGTTTCAGATCTAATATACATGAAAAGTACAGCCCTGGTGCAATTTCTAAGTGGTTCCACCCACATCATGCTTCCAACAATAAGATAATTGAGAGTTTGTCAATCATAGAGGTGTCTGTAGGACATCTAATCTCACTATATTTGTTAAACGTGATATTTAATTCATCTTGTTGTCTATATCCAACCACATATTCCCCGACTTTGGTCTTTTTAATCTATTACTTGTTCTCAGCTAACGTGTGAGATAATTTATTAAAGGTTCACGAAACCCTTGAGGACTTTTTTTTTTAAAGATTTTAACAGATTTGTGTGTGTTGAGCATCAGTTAAGACAATGTTAGCCCCTGTTAGCTTTAATTGTGGGGAAAACTGGATCATTTTCAGCTAATTTTGAGCTTCCGGGTTTAAAATGATTTTTGGGATGGATCAAAATCGGTGACGGAAAACTGCAAGAGCAAACATGACGCATTGGTACCTCATTATTATTCATAGCTGAGTTTATTTATCCTATGAGAAGAGCCGGCTTCTTAATTATTCATGACTGCGCGTGCTTTCTGAAGGCAAGACACGGACCTGCCAGTGCCAAGCTGTGAGATCGTACCTTGATGACTGGGTGAAATTGAGTCCACGGACCCACGGCACACAGTATTTAGCTGTTCATGAAGGGTCATAAGTGTTTGTTTCCATGATCCACAGGGTTTGTTGCATGTTTTTCCCTGCGATGCTGTCAGGGTTGATACAGCTAAGCTGTATGAGTGCAGCAAATATTTTTGTCGGGAGAGCTGTACAAGAATTGGAGAATGGCGGACGTTGTCTTTTATCAGGAGTTCGTTCACATTTAGACACACCGTCGTGCTGCTGTGTTCGCCTAAATCCTTCAGATTACCAGCAGGGCTAATAGTTGAAATAGGCAGGGCAAGAGACCTGCTGCACTGAGTCTGCATTCAGACACAAGGATTGAGGGAGATTTCCTCATTTATAGTGTTTATATGAACACGATTATCTTTACAATTATATAAATTGTGTTTGTGTATATGAAATCACGAATAACAAATGTAGCACGGCATTAAAATACTGTTCATTTCTTTGCATTTTAACTTTGTAAACTATAAAATCATGCGTCTCCTCACGTCTGTGTATAATTTTGAGAGCCGACTGACAACAGTTGTTCGCTCCCCTCCTTCTCCCCTGCTCTGCTGGCCACGCCCACACCTGCCCTTTGCTCGCGGAGCTCCACGCCCATTACGATGCATCATTTGAAAGTTTTCTGAGGTAGACCTGAACTGAAAGTGGGGGGTGTCATGACCCTTTAATTAATGTAACCGCGAACACTGATTCAGCACATCTGACTGATCGCTCGCCTTTGTTTTCTATATTATATAAACAGACTGTACGTTATACTTTTATAATGGCCATTATTGATTATCAAACCTGATATTCAGCAAAAGAGAGGGTATGTTTGGTATTTTTAATGAAAATGAAAGAAGGCAGTTCTGTTTTAGGCTCTGTTTTGTTATAAATATGCATACAGTGAAGATGACGCTCATATAAATATGTAGCTACACAACACCTCAACATTTCTGGTGTCTGTTAAGTTGCTAATATCAAAATGAAAATAGACAGTTCCTTATATTGTGTTTTCATTTTATTGTTATGAAAGTGAAACAACAGTCAGGGCCAGTTTAGTGGTTAGTGCGTCAACACATGCACTCCGTTGCTCACGGTGACCCAAGTTCAATTCCCGCCTCAGGGTCCTATGCCACTCCTTCCCCTCCCTCTGCTCCCCATGCTTTCCTGACAATAATCTCTACTGTCCTATCCAATTAAGGTGAAAACACTGAAAAATTCATTAATAATAATAAAAAGTGAAAATGTAGCCAGGATGATGTGAATGAGGTTATAAAGTACACCGTTCCCTTTGAAAATTGACCCGACGTGTCCTCGGGAGTTTGTTTTCCATATCAAACTTGCAAAGTCTGAACTTACAAAGAGAGGATGCAGGACTGAACTGTGTGTAACGTTAGGCTACTTAATATTGAGGAAAAGCACCAATCAGAGAGGCGAATGTCTACAGCCACGACGGTCATGCATCAAGTTTCGCAGGTTGCTGCGGTGCAAAGTTCAAGCTTGGTGAACTCTGACCTGCGAAATCGCATCACTTGAACACGTGAGACCAACCGAGGATCAAAAAATGACCTCTCTGGGCAGAAATTTAAAACATAGAGCAATAGTCCGCTTTTTTAATGCCTAATAATCTTGTTTATTACCACTCCTTTTTGCAGCGCCACACGACAGAATTTCGCACACACAAACTCTATTGTGACTGTAGCTTAACATAGAGCAGCGTTTCCAAAACACTCTATTTTTGCCGCTTGATAACTCCTCCGTAGTGTGGACAGATGACATAACCATAGCAAAACTAATGCCTTGTCAAACTAAAACGCATTAGTGTAAACAGGGCCTAAGTGAGGCAGAGCAGAACTCATAAATATTCATGATTGTGCCAAATATAGTCAATATGAAACGTCTGATTCAAGGGTTTTATGGGGTAAAAAATGATGTAAAATCATTTCCATACACTTTTTTTAACTTACCTGAGGCACAACCTAATATGTGGATATCAGAGAACAATTTAACAAATTGAATCAATGCAACAATTTTAACCCTTTAAACAAAAAAAAATGTTGACAATATAAAATAACACCAGCACTGTTGTTCAGCCTCATTATTAAAGAGTAATGAATAAACACAAACCTATTAGTTCTTCAGTCTCTTCCTGTTTAATACTGCCAAGATCTGGATCACTCATCTTCTCACTGTCCTTCAATAAACAGAGGTCATTGTTATACTATATATTTGCAGATTTCACTTTTTCCTGATGGTCTGAAGCTCGTCTTCACAAGACATCAGTATAGCGATGTAAAAGAAACTGTTGACATGAAATAAAGAGGATTTCAGCAGCTCTGATAAAATTGATGAGCCTCAGACTATAAACACTCATTAAACAGCCATTATGGATAAACTAATTAATTAATTTTAAATTAATATATATATATATATATATATATATATATATATATATATATATATATATATATATATATATATATAATATATATATAAAGTTTAGTTCTAACCCCAATCAGACTCACCTGGTCTAGCTAATCAAGCTCTTACTAAAAAACATCCTTGCAGGTGTGTTGAGGCAAGTTAGAGCTAAAATCTGCAGGACACCGACCCTACAGGACTGAGTTTGGACACCCCTGCTATATATTAACTTATAACTATAACTATATATATATATATATATATATATATATATATATATATATATATATATATGTGTGTGTGTGTGTGTGTGTGTGTGTGCGTGTCTTTATATAGCTTAATAATCTAGTAAGTATTCATACAAATACAGAAATAAGATTGCAAAAACATCTACTTGGACAAAAAACTGACAAATCATAAAATCCTTCAAAAAATAAATCAACAATTTAATGTTTTTAGTGTCTGCTGAACTACATTACCATTTTATTCATACCATACAACATACAAAAACAAACTCACTCATATTGTCCTCTCAGAGCTCCTCTCTGCCTGCTGTGTTGTTTTGGTCAGCAGACACACAGATAGAGGTGAACTCAATGCAGAAACTAGTCGCAGATTGTCGCTTTAATAAACTGTAAAGTGTGTTTATCGAGAAAAAGCGTCAACGACTCACCTCAGCTCTGAAGACTCGACGCCTGTTCTTCTTCTAGGTTTTATGGCGAGTTCAATTCTGTGCTGATGTCGCCATCTAGTGTGCATGTTATGTTATTAGGATCATTAGTTGACGGTTTGTCATTGCTCTGTGTTTAGTTTAGTTTAGATTAGTTTATTTGTTAACAGGATCAATGCACATTAATAAAGATTACTGTAAAATGTGCCAGAATTAGCCAAGAATGGCTATTTTTCATCTATAGACCCCTTACAGAAGGTTAAAAACGCACACCTAAAATAGAGGCACAGCATAATAACAGAATTCATGAAACTCATATATAAAATACAATACAAAATAAAAACAGATGACAGCAGAGGAGAATACAGTCAAGAATACATTGCTGATTCGTCTTTTTTTGTGTGTGTGTTACTGGAGATTTTTGAAGACTGTCATTTGTCCATACCTTACCATCACTACTCTTTTCAATGAGCTGCGGCTGATGCCGTCAGCCCCTCAACTGCCTCAATGCGCTGACAGTCGGCCCAGTCCTCGTACAGCAGCCTCTCCCACCTGCAGCCTGAGAGCAGATCACTCCTCTGTGTATCGACGGCAAATGATTTAGCACAGGAAGTAAGAGGTATATTCATTGTACAGTCAAATCGATCTGCTTCTCCCTTATTTTAACTATATAACTTGACCGTTTATTCTTTTCTTATTCACAATCAGAGATATTTTAGTGACAGTTTTGGATCTTGTCTGAGTTTATCACGTCTGAGAGATTACTGCAAATTCACTACACCTCTATATTAATACATTGTATTCAGACAGCAGTAAATTTAGGTAAATTTACATGCTCGGGGTGATGTCACACCAAGACTTTTGTTTCAGACCCTGTCTCGTTTGCCCAGTTAGGGTGGTTCGTTTGGCATATGTGAATCCAGCAGTCGTGCTCTGATCCGCGACAAAACAATCAGTTGGAGATCGCTTGAATGAGGTGGTCTCAGCACGATTGAACCAAACTCTGGAGTGGATGGATTGTAGTGAGAAAGCGATCCGATCCGAGACTGGTTATATCTCAGTGTTTTATGGACATGTAATAGGCATACAGCTGTATGAAGAGAGAATTATGAGTAGGGCGGGAGGTCATTCCAGACATCCCAAGTCTCCTGGAAGTTTCGTAAGTCTCCCGCAAGTGAGACTCCTGGATGCCCGCAAACAAAGTGATAATCTCCCGGTAATTGCGCATCTCCATCCAGGCCCTCAAATACGTCACACACCCTTCTCATTCCTCTCCAACGCATCCGTACTCCTCTTCAGACACGTCGCGTGCACCTTGTCAAACACCGCCAAACCACTACCATCCCCCTGACAGCTGAGCACGACTCTGCAAAATAAACCGTAAAACTCTGACCAATGTGAGGAGAGTTTACTCACACGTGACTTGTTTGAGCTCTTTTGGTCCGTTTAGAAATTTTGCCGTGTGAAAGCGAACCGCACCAAGAGCAAAGAGCAACGATGTAACGATTTTAATCCCCGTTTCAGAACAAAGGCATTGATTCTCAGGTGTGAACGAACCCTTACATAAAGCATAGTGCAAATATAAATCCCCCTTTATTAACCATAGGCTGTTAAACAAACAGACACGATAGAACGTGATGACGTCAGTAATATGAGTGAATTTTCGGGCAGAGCTTAGCACTTATTCATTGAAAATAGTTGGCAACAGTGTTATTGGTGTTGTGACCAATTTAAAGGGTCACGAAACACCAAAACACATTTGTTTGAGCTGTTGACAGTGGTATATGTGTCCCACACTGCTAAAAACACTATTAGGACACCTATATTTCACAAAAAAGTGTAAATTGGTTGTTTTTGCGTTATTTCAAGCAAATTTGTACTTCCGGTTTGAAACTAATTTTTGAAGCAGCGTCACGGTCATGACATAATAGCGTGTATTCCAGCGTGCAGACTGGACGTCTGTGCCAGAGTGTGTCTTATTACGTCTTACAGTGTGATGCATTAATGCATGAGTAAGGCTTGGTTCAAACCAATCAGCGCGCTCTATTGTGCAACTTCATTAATATTCATTAGTGTCACAGTGTTTAGACGACAGAGACGCCACGTTGTGTTGCCAAAACAAGCGTGAAGTGTTGCTTTTATAGTTTGCTGCCATTAAGTTTCGTTTTCATTTTCTCTCTGTGAGAGCTCAGAGTCACGTGTGGATTAACAGTGTACGCGACGCTTGACAACAATAACTTACGTGTCTAAGGAGGAACATTGTTTACCTGAGAGCTGTTCTCATCTGCAAACGCTGAAATCCGGATTCGCTTGTAACGTTAGTCTCCTCTTCATAAAGACGCGGCTCTAGTTGCTGGTGATTGTCCTGTCTCTACAGATTTGGTAAGTGAGCGACCAGTGCTCTTTGTTTATTCAGTTTGTTCGTATCGAATTAAGTTAACTAATGCACTGAGTGCAAACATAGCACCGCATTTTGTGACCGGAATAACACACGCGGCTTTCTGACGCTACCTGCCCTGTGCATCTAAGTTTCCGGGAAATGCAGAGTTTTTTTTTCTCTCATTCGCCGTGCGGTATCAAACATTGCATGAAAAAATACACGCTTAGAGCAGATCCTCGAATCAAATATTGCGTTTGTCGCGAGGGGCATGAATGAATTCCCTGAATGAAAGAGCCAAACTGCAGTTAAAGTCCACCATTTAATAATTTGGCAAATAATTCGACTACAGATGTCCATGTGGGTTAAACACCATCACTTTCTCATGTGTGTGTATTTTGACTGAAACTCGCGCGTGCCCAAATAGACACTCCCACACCATCCCACTTTAGTTCCTCCGACACTCCCCCCTAAACAGAGCTGGACACGCCCACTTTTCTGACTTTTTCCAAAGTAGAGGTGTGAAAACACCCTGCTGAAACGAGGGGGTTTCATGGCCCTTTAAATGCTAAGTGTATGTACCTAGGCCTATTTAGAGTGCTGAGATGTTACGATGTTAGAGGACTAATTTTATTTCTTTGTTCCAACTTCCAAGAGGGCTATGGTTTATGTTTTTTTACTAATAAATAATGTTAAAACACATTTAAACGACTCGTTCATGAAAAAAAGGCAAAAGAGCTGTGTGCATGTGCACATTTGAATAACGTCGGGCTGTAAACGGGTTCGGGCTTTTCAAAAGCTGTCAATCAAAATTTACTTGTTGGGCTCGGGCCGAATTCTGTCGAGCTAGGGCCCTATCAGGCCAAACTTTTATGACTCGATTACAGCTCTACCTTAAGGTAAACATCTGCGCAGGACAAAATTTTTTAATCCGCCAGGTTTTAGTCCGAACCCGACCGATATCCAGCATTTGTAGTCCCGCTGTCCGACCTGCCCCGTTTTCTACCTGCCGTAACCATTCCCGCTAACAGGGGGGTTTAAGTATTACACATATACACACACACATAGACAGCACCAAGCTAGCAACACACAGCATCACGCTCTCTCTCTCTCTCTCATTTACACACATAGGCAGCAACAAACAGGCGACAACACAGCATCCCGCGTGCTCGCTCGCTCGGGAGTCAGGAGCGATATTGTTAGACCGCCCACTCCCATTCAAATTACACCAGTTACCGACCGCTTCCGCGATTTATTCGGAAATTTATTCCTGCACCGAAAGAAATCTGGTCAGATCCCGCGGCTGCAGACCTCTACCTTAAGGCTTCTGGTTTATATGAACTTTAAGATGTTTCTTCAGATCTGAAGGCCTAATAAATGTTTTACCGCATTGATCACATTTGTGTGGTCTTACTCCAGTGTGGATCCTCTCATGCATCTTCAAGCCTTGTAACTGACTGAATCTCTTGTCGCAGAGTGAACACTCGTACGGTCTCTCTCCAGTGTGAACCACCAGGTGCAGTTTCAATTCTCCAGCTCTTATGAAACTCTTCCCACACACCGAGCACACAAACTCTTTCACCCCTGTGTGCATCTTCTGGTGTGCATTTAAAAAGCACTGCTGTGTAAAGCTCTTCCCACACACAGGACATGAATAAGGCTTCTCGTTAGTATGAACTCTGAGATGGTACTTCAGATCTGAAGGCCTCGTAAACGATTTGCCGCATTGATCGCATTTGTGTGGTCTCTCTCCAGTGTGGATCCTAAAGTGCTGTCGAAAGTTGGATAATCGTCTGAAACTCTTCCCACACTGAGCACATGTGAATAGTTTCTCTCCAGTGTGAATCGTCTCGTGTGCTTTCAGGCATTCTGACCTGCCAAATGTCTTGTCACAATATGAACACTTGTAAGGTTTCTCTACAGTGTGAATCACCTGGTGTTGTCTTAAAATTGCCACATGTGCAAAACTATTACCACACTCAGAGCAGAAATAACATTTCTCCTTTTTAGGAACGCTACGATGGACCTTCATGGCTTTACTCGGTTCTTCACTTTCCTTCATCAGCTCTGAAACAAATAAGGAAAAAGGTTATATTTTAGGAATGCAAAAGATTAATCAATGATTGATTTTGACCCTTTTAATTGATTAAACCCATTTTAATTTTTAAGGTTAAGTTTCCTTTTTTTGAGTCAGTTTCTTTCTTTTTTTTAAGTCAGTTTCCTTTTTTTGAGTCAGTTTCTTTCTTTGAGTCAGTTTCTTTCTTTTTTTTGAGTCAGTTTCTTTTTTTGAGTCAGTTTCTTTCTTTGAGTCAGTTTCTTTCTTTTTTTTGAGTCAGTTTCTTTTTTTGAGTCAGTTTCTTTTTTTGGTCAGTTTCTTTCTTTTTTGAGTCAGTTTCTTTTTTGAGTCAGTTTCTTTCTTTTTTGAGTCAGTTTCTTTTTTTGAGTCAATTTCTTTCTTTTTTTGAGTCAGTTTCTTTCTTTTTTTTAAGTCAGTTTCCTTTTTTTGAGTCAGTTTCTTTCTTTGAGTCAGTTTCTTTCTTTTTTTTGAGTCAGTTTCTTTTTTTGAGTCAGTTTCTTTTTTTGGTCAGTTTCTTTCTTTTTTGAGTCAGTTTCTTTTTTGAGTCAGTTTCTTTCTTTTTTGAGTCAGTTTCTTTTTTTGGTCAGTTTCTTTCTTTTTTGAGTCAGTTTCTTTCTTTTTTTGAGTCAGTTTCTTTCTTTGAGTCAGTTTCTTTCTTTGAGTCAGTTTCTTTCTTTTTTTGAGTCAGTTTCTTTTTTTGGTCAGTTTCTTTCTTTTTTTGAGTCAGTTTCTTTCTTTGAGTCAGTTTCTTTCTTTTTTTGAGTCAGTTTCTTTCTTTGAGTCAGTTTCTTTCTTTTTTTGAGTCAGTTTCTTTTTTGAGTCAGTTTCTTTCTTTTTTTGAGTCAGTTTCTTTCTTTGAGTCAGTTTCTTTCTTTTTTTGAGTCAGTTTCTTTTTTTGGTCAGTTTCTTTCTTTTTTGAGTCAGTTTCTTTTTTGAGTCAGTTTCTTTTTTGACAGTTTATTTCTTTTTTGAGTCAGTTTCTTTCTTTTTTTGAGTCAGTTTCTTTTTTTGGTCAGTTTCTTTCTTTTTTGAGTCAGTTTCTTTTTTTGGTCAGTTTCTTTCTTTTTTGAGTCAGTTTCTTTTTTTGAGTCAGTTTCTTTCTTTTTTTGAGTCAGTTTCTTTTTTGAGTCAGTTTATTTCTTTTTTTGAGTCAGTTTCTTTCTTTTTTTGAGTCAGTTTCTTTTTTTGGTCAGTTTCTTTCTTTTTTGAGTCAGTTTCTTTTTTTGGTCAGTTTCTTTCTTTTTTGAGTCAGTTTCTTTTTTTGAGTCAGTTTCTTTTTTTGAGTCAGTTTCTTTCTTTTTTTGAGTCAGTTTCTTTTTTGAGTCAGTTTATTTCTTTTTTTGAGTCAGTTTATTTCTTTTTTTGAGTCAGTTTCTTTCTTTTTTTGAGTCAGTTTCTTTGAGTCAATTTCTTTTTATTTATTTTTTGAGTCAGTTTCTTTTTTTGAGTCAGTTTCTTTTTGAGTCAGTTTCTTTTTATTTATTTTTTTGAGTCAGTTCCTTTTTTTGAGTCAGTTTCTTTCTTTTTTTGAGTCAGTTTCTTTTTTGACAGTTTATTTCTTTTTTTGAGTCAGTTTCTTTTTTGAGTCAGTTTCTTTTTTTGAGTCAGTTTCTTTCTTTTTTTTGAGTCAGTTTCTTTCTTTTTTTGAGTCAGTTTCTTTGAGTCAATTTCTTTTTATTTATTTTTTGAGTCAGTTTCTTTTTTTGAGTCAGTTTCTTTTTTTGAGTCAGTTTCTTTTTATTTATTTTTTGAGTCAATTTCTTTATATTTACTTCTTTGAGTCAATTTCTTTTTATTTATTTTTTGAGTCAGTTTCTTTTTGAGTCAGTTTCTTTTTATTTATTTTTTTGAGTCAGTTTCTTTTTTTGAGTCAGTTTTTTGACATTACGTGTGGGGGACCCTTTAAACCTTAAAGAGGTAGTCCACAGTAGGGCTGCAACAGTGAATCAAATAAATCATAAAATCGATTACTAAAAGCATCGGCAATGAATTTTTATAATCAATTTGTTATGTTACGTGACACAGGGACGTTTGATTATTTAAAAAAAACATTTAGGTTGATACAGAGTTCAGCGCCTCATAGATAGAGTTCAACAGCAGGGTAAACCAATAAAGAATCCTACTTTTGTTCTGTTTTGAAGTGAGGACCGCAAAGTCTCTGGTGTTTTACTCGTTATCCAGCTTGACAAGTTAGCCTTAGCATTAGCATTAGAGCGGCAACTGAAAAATTCCCACGTGGGAAAATTTGACGTGGCTGGCGTTAAAAAAGAAAGGGGAGAAAAAGAAAAACTGAAATAAATATATATTTTCAATATAAGACACACATCTTATGCTTGTATTTGCAGCAGCTCCACATCCACAACTTCAAACATTGGGTTAAATTACGCTTTGCAGTCTCCGTGTTCAGTCTATTACTTCCACTGTATCTGTTCAGCTGAGGAAACAGAACCAACCCCGTGACATCAGACATGGGGTGTAAGAACTTGCTTGACAGTGCTCAAAAAGCAAGCAGGATAATATTTACATTAGTTTATTTGCTATTAATGCTCATGCTGTCTTCTGTGCATGTGCATCGGACCAAAGCAATCAGTGGGGTGTGAAAAGGACCCAAAAACGGCAGGAAAATTCTATGTGTCATTTGTTGCTCTTGGTCCGGACCAAATGACCAAACTACAAATTTGAAAGAACAATAAGAAAACATCTCTTTTTGATTGAGACTTGATGGTTTGTTTACACTGAGTGATAGATTATGGTTCGTTACACATTTTTGTCCCTTTCCACTATCAGAAGAGAAAGAAATTGCAAACTGAACTGTACTATTATTAATACTACTTTGTTGGGACTCTTTTGTAAGTGTTAAGGCTAATTTATACTTCTATGCAAGCTGTCGGCGTTGCTAACGCGCACCTTTCAAAAAACTTAACTACACGTTGCAAGGATGCGTAACGCAAGCTCTGTGATTGGTCGGCTTGGAAGTGCTGACGAGTGTGGCCGTGACCGAGAGCCACGCAAATCCGTTGGAGCGACTGTTTACAAGTGTCGAATCCCATGAAGGAGCTCCGGATGGAAAGTTTTGTTTTGTATTCACTTCATGGTTAAAGTTGTTGCACGCCGGCTCCTGCCTCAAAATGAGCGAGTTTGAGCCACTTGTACATTAACGAAGCGTTCAGAAAAAACAAAACACCAGAGAAAAAACTCAACACAAAAGAAACAGAAACACCTACTGCCATCTAGCGTTTCGGAAGTGTTATTGCAGAAAAACATAAACACCATGCAGAAGTATAAATGCACAGCTACGCGCGTTGCATGCACCGTGGGTCAGTATATACCAGGCTTTATAAGCACAACAGTACGGTACCTAAAGAGTGAAGCTAGACTTAATGGTGATTGGTTTACAAAGAATCATCACTTGTGCATGCGACAAGCCAGAAAAATGAAGAATCAATTTAAAATTCACAGTCTCCTGTTTTGTTATCCTAAATAATACAACCTGGAAGGGCTGAGTGTTTAGATGATCTACTTACTGTGGTAGAATTTCTTGTGTTTTCGTAGAGCAGATGCATTCCTGAAACTCTTCCCACAATCAGTGCAGTGATACGGTTTCTCTCCAGTGTGGATCCTCTCGTGTGATTTCAGGTATACTGAATGACTGAATCTCTTGTCGCAGTGCGAGCACTTGTAAGGTTTCTCTCCAGTGTGGATCATCATGTGACTCTTCAGAGTGTATTTGTGCTTCAAAGTCTTTCCACACAGAGTACAGGTCAAACCTTTCATTACAATATCATCTTCAGTCTCTGATTGAGTTTCTTCTTCACTTTTGACCTGATGTTTCTCCTCATCTTCATTTAGTTCTTCACTCTCCTCTTTCACCATCACACCTGAAAATGAAGTGAATAAGTTATGAAGGTGTGGGTTTTCTGATGGACGTCCACTCCAGGATGGAGTAACACTTATAATTTCTCAAGTCTTTATGATTATCAAGTTGAATGATTAAGAGCCAAGATCATATGATGACCTTGGTCTCATCCCTCTTCAGAGTAAAACTGGAACAATATGTGCGGCATTGCTTTTTCTGTATGTCAAATGATTTGTTTCCTCAGGATCTACCTAGCCAGGTCAGAGGTCACACAGATCTCTTGAGTTGACCTGGACACATGAAGAATCAGAAACAACAGTTTCCTGAATTATTTGCCTTTTTATGTGTTAAATCTTTTACAGTGAACTCCTTTGTATGCTAGCTGCCAGTTTGGATGTTGATTGTTCCAGTTTTAAACCAGTTTTGATAAGACGCCTGAGAGTACACGACACAGCCTTGAGAAAGAACAGGCTGTACTGTGAGTGTGTTCTATTCCTTTGTGGATTATTTCACAGGTCTGGACAGCCTAGTGGCTGATGCTTACATGCTTGAGATATTGCTCAGAATTGTATGCACACACACACACAGGAATTTTCCTAGTCTATCTGTGTTTTAACCAATCAGGTCAAAACACCTACAGTTGAAGTCAGAATTATTAGCCCCCTTTTAATTATTTTATATTTCTCAAATTATATTCAACAGAGCAAGGACATTTTTACAGTATGTCTGATAATATTTTTTCTTCTGGAGAAAGTCTTGTTTTATTTCAGCTAAAATAAAGGCCATTTTAAGGTCAATATTATGAGCCCCTTTGAGCTATATGTTTTTTCAATAGTCGACAGAACAAACCATCGTTATACAATAACTTGCCGAATTACCCTAATTAACTTAGTTACCCTAATTAACCTAGTTAAGCCTTTAAATGTCACTTTAAGCTGTATAAAAGAGTCTTGATAAATATCTAGTCTAATATTATGTACTGTCATCATGGCAAAGATGAAATAAATCAGTTAAAATTATTAAAACTTTTATGATCAGTAATGTGCTGAAAAACATCTTCCCTCCATTTTGACTTCAACTGTATATGTATGAAGCAGGTAATGACGTTATGAAGGAGTATAATTGTTGATGTTTTGAGATCATAAGTAGAGCCGTCTGTAAACTCATTTGCAAGTGTTGAAGCTGGCTGCTGATGAAATTGCAAACAATCTTCTGTAAACTTTTTTCTAATTGGATCTCTGACTCTGATCTTCTAAATCTATCTATCTATGCATATATATATATATATATATATATATATATATATATATATATATATATATATATATATATATAATGGTGAAACCAGACCACCAATACCATTGCAGAGCATACATGGAGATTTTGGGTGAGACCTAAACACTGCCGTGCGTGGTGGCTAAACTTGTTTTCCGCAATATTTCTAAGAGATGGAAAGTAAATAAACAGCAGGCGGATGTGATGATATGATTTAAGTAAAGGCGACTTACATCAGTAAATGAACAAAAGCATTTTCAGCCATTTAAGTGAGGACCATTTTTTCAGAAAGAATTGAAAACGATCATGTGGACGGCATTTTAGGACTCAAACACCATATTTCAGATTCATCTGGATTAGTGTAGACATAGCCCTAATAGCCTGACAGAGCCTCTGAGACCCAACACATGAACAAATTTAGATGTTTTATCCAATTCATGAATGGTCCAATTATATTGATGTCATGGTCTTAACTAAAGAATAAATTATAACACTAAACAAATTTATAATTAATTAGGTGTAGCTGTAAGCTTTAATTTGTTATCGCATCTGACATCGCATGCAGTGGTCAATTATTATTGTTCATTATTTCCTATTGACTATTTTACCAATTGAAATTGCATCTCAATATTAATGACATGATATTACACCACAAAATGTGTATTTATTAGATCTGATTCTCATGCAGCTTCAGCTAATAGCCTACCATTCTGAAAGTGAACCCTCTTTATTGAAGAGTAATGAATAAACACAAACCTATTAGTTCTTCAGTCTCCTCCTGTTTAATTCTGCAGGGTTCTGGATCACTCATCTTCTCACTGTCCTTCAATAAACTCTGTCTTTGCAGATTTCTCTTCTTCCTGATGGTCTGATGCTCGTCTTCACCTGTAGACTGATGGGAATACTCCAGTATTTACAGCAAAAAAGTAAACAGAAAAATCTCCACAACTTGCACTGCTCAATGAAACAGACCATAGTTAATGTGGCAATCTGTAGATCTGAAGACATCAGTATAATAACGTAAAAACAGGAACTATGGACATAACATAATTTTTTTTACAGCTTTAATAGTATTGATGAGCCTCAGACTATAGACCATTTTAATGTGGTCATGTAATTGACCAAATAACATTTCCTGCTTGTTATTTAAACTATTTCCTAACTGTAACAAGAGGTAATTCAATTATAACTTAATGTTAAAACAGCTGTCATAACATTATTTATCATTACGTGGCTCCTTTTTGTATTACTGATAGCTATAAAAAAAAAATAATATCTACAACAGGAAATACATTAGGACCAATGTTTTCGTTTACATCCCTCAAAATGGTCCATAAACACTCATTAAACAGCCTTTCAGAATCAGATCAGCTCATTTTATGCTGAGTGTTTGCAGGATTAACTAAATACTCTAGCTTATTAAACTAATTGCTTTAGTTTCAAACCTAGGATTCATACAAATACAGGAAAACGGACAAATAACACACCTTTTAAACTGAGCACCACAAATAATTTCATTTTTTCAGTGTCAAACTTCATATATTTGCTATCATAACTGTCACAGAAACGTACACGCATAAAAAACAAATACTCGTATATTGTTCTGGTCAGCAGACACACAGCTAGAGGTGAACTCAATGCAGAAACTAGTCGCAGATTGTCGCTTTAATAAACTGTAAAGTGTGTTTTATTGTTGTGTAAACACGAGAAAAAGCGTCAACGACTCACCTCAGCTCTGAAGACTCGACGCTGTATGAACGCGTCAGTGCTGACGTCATTGCGGCGAAGCGGGAGCAACAAAAGCGCCAAACTAATAACGGTTTACAAAACAATTGCTAATGAATACACAAAGTCATCTTAAAGAGCCCATATTATACATGAAATAAGGTCATATCTTGGTTGTAAGGGTCTCCAACAACAGTCTAATATGCATGCAAGGTCAAAAAACACTTTCATGGTCTTATAATCTGCATTTATTTTTACCTAATTATCCCAGCGACTCCTGTATGAATCGTCCAGTGATTCATTTGTTCCCAAACCCCTCCTTAGCGCGAAGCTAATCTGCGCTGATTGGACCGATGACAGTCTGTCGCGATTGGTCGACTGCCTTCAGTCAGAGAGGGAAATGGCCAATAGCTAATCAGCAATTTAAAAAGTAATCACAGTTCATACACGCTCGATAGTGTAGGCGTGGACTTTAGCTGCCACACTATGGCGAGTGGATAGTGCCACGGATAACCGAACGAAGGAGACAGTCGTGTACTCGCCATACCACACACACACAAAAACACACACACATCTCCGGATGACAACGCTCCCGCTTCAGCCCGCACCCGCCAGGTTTTAGCCTGAGAACCCGCTCCGTTTTCTGCCCGCCGCGCCCGGTCCCGCTAGAGCGGAGAACACAACCAAATATCACCCAGTATACAGTCCAGACAGCCAAGCTGTCAGTATAAAAACACACACACAGCACAAAGTACACAAAGCTCGTTCGTTCGTTCGCTCTCTCTCTCGCTCGCTCTCTCTCTCTCTCTCTCTCTCTCTCCCCGCGCCAGATTTCTGCGGCGCGGGAATACATTTCCGAATAAATCGCGGGAGCAGAACTCTAGCACGGAGCTCCATAAACAAACAGCACGCGTCGCGTTTTTAACGTGACTTTGCACGCGATAAGATAATATATCCAGTTAACCTGATACAGTACACGCGGTTACAAGTAACAAATCACAACTAAATACATTTGCAAGCTAGAGTAAACGAGGCAACAACTTTAACCGCACGTACTTACACTTGAGAAATGTAGGAAGAAACCCATCCTGACGTCCATCAGTTACTCTTTACTGATCCTTCCTTTAACAAACTCAGATGAAGTATTCTTTGTAGCATGTAGCTTCCAGAAGTTTCCAACTGCTTGGTTATAATGCTGATGTTTCATCTTTGGGTAGAGACTCAATATAATATCCATCTGCAGTGTGACTTCAATCGACCGGCATGTTTGTGTGCGTGTGTTTGTGGGTGTGCGTGTGTTTGTGGGTGTGTGTGTGTGTGTGTCTGGGTTACTGCGTCAGAGGGCGGGGCCTCAGGTTTGAAATCTCCCGGGTTTGCGCGTGCACGTGAAAAACTTTGTTTCGTTCGTACGTCATGGCGAAACACCTAATGAGTCGGTATCAAGGCGACTCGTTTGAAGCACTATGATTCGACTCTTTTATAGATGAATCAACAGTTTTAAACACTGTATTCTTACAGATTTAAGCCTTAGCTGGATACTTCACTTCACTTAGAGCTGTGTTACACACTACATGGAGGGGAATTTTCAAAAACCCATAATATGGGCTCTTTAAGTGCACGGCTTTATGAATTTATCCCCGCATCAGGTTTGGTTTCGGTGTCTCCATAGCAGAGTAAAGATGCTTTAACTATCATGTGTGAGGTGAAAAACTACCATCAATAAACAATCACCTTCAGGATAGTATTGAAAGATGATTAATAAAAGGTAACATTTTATAATGGACAAACCTGAAACTAATATAAGTATATATCATATCATGTAGTTGCATCAAGTTTAGGAGAAAACAAACAAGTTAATAAATCTTAGTTATTCTTAAAAGTGTAGTTTCTCTTTTCTGAACAGTGACAATCTGTAGGCTTATATGTAGAAAATCTTCTAAACGAAAGACTAAAGGAGATGAATATTTATTTAGAAAATTCTAGATCACACAAAAAAGCAAGATCTGTAGCTTATTTTGATGAAATATGAAATCGCTGAAAAATGAGTGTATAATATCGAAATTTTTGAATGGGGGAGAACATGCAAACTCCACACAGAAATGCCAACTGACTCAACCCAGCGACCTTTTTCCTGTGAGGCGACCAATGGGCATTTTTACACAAATATCTGTACTTTCTACTCCTTACATTTTTAAACCAGTCTTTACTTTAGTTTTTATGTGTTTGTTAGTGTTACGTCCCGACCAGTCTAGGGTTGGTGGGAACAATAACAAGTGTACAAAAAAAAAACAAAGAGATAAACTCAAATACTCAATTTAGGTTTTTCCCCTTCTCCTGTCCCAACTCACAATAATCACAACGCTGATCAAGTAGTAACAATATTTATTATTTACTTAGACAACAAAGATAGAAGCATCTCTTCGGAAGGGAATCCAGGCCAAAATAATAAACAAAAAGACAGCTAACTTGTGGGGAAATAATTCTAACTTACCTGCTCAAATAAAAGTACCCCAAATAAAACTACAGCAAACTTCCCTTTCTCCCTTGCTACCACAAACCAGGAGAAAACGTTTTAAAGTAAATGGCGATTCCCAACCTACCGCTTCTGTTTCTAACCAAAAATAATATATATATAAATATTTAATCAGAAAAGCCAATAGATTCAGATTTAACAGAGAGCCGTTTTAGAAAATAATTAAATTGTCAGTAACAGAAATCAATCAATTCACACCAAGTCAACCAACAGTTTGGGGCAGGAGATAGGAGACGCTCGGAACAATAGCAGCGGCGGCGGCGGCGGCGACGACGACGAAGATTTGCGACCTGCACCGAGCAGAAAGATCTCCCCATTGTTCCTCTCCTCCAGCTTATATACGCTCCCACACGCAACACGGCTGGACCGCAATCAAGCGCAGCTCTAGAGGGAGGGGGAGAGAGAGAGAAAGCTGCGCATGCTCCACAGCCCACAACACAACATCAGCTCCAAATGCATAAACAAAACACAAATCTGTATATATATAATATTTATATATATATAAAATAAACAAATAATTAATGCGTTCTATAACGTAACAGTTAGTGCGATCTTCATTATTTCTTGTCATTGCTCAATTTGAACGCCTATTTGATGCAAATAGTGTATTTTTTTTGTCACCGTGCACCTGTGAGCTGCAGTGCACAACTTTTTATAACCAACACAACTTATGTAGGCTGGTTTAAGAAGATTACCATGACAAAGGCTAGGATGGCTACACAGATGAGACAGAGATTCGTCAGCTAGTGAAGTGCTGTGCAAGTAAGCCTCACTCCTCTGATCAGACAGACGCTAGAGGCCATGGTCTTTAACCTTTTTGTTAGAGCAACCGACTCCCATACGAAGAGTCCCCAGTTCGATCACAACTCAGAGTGGGTTGGGTAGTGTAGGACCAGCGGGTTTGCATTGGTGCCGTGACCTATGGGGTAAGTGTAATGGAGGCCAGCTAGTGAAGTGCTGTGCAGGTAAACCTGACTCCTCTGACCTCTAAAGGTGCTTTAGCGACAGACACTAGAGGACATGATCTTCAAGCCTGGTTTATACTTCTGCGTCAAGTGACCGGCGTAACCCACGACGCATGCAACGCATGTAGCTGTGCATTTATACTTCCGAAACGCTAGTTGGCAGTGAGGTGTAAATGTTCCTCTGTGTCGAGTTTCTTCGCTGTTGTTTTGCTTTTCCTGAACACTTCCTGAATGTACAAGTGGCTCAAACTCGCTCATTTTGAGGCAGGAACCGGCGGATGTGCCACAACTTTAACTGTGAGGTAAACACAAAACAAAACTTTCCATCCGGAGCTCCTTCACGGGACTCCACACTTGTAAACAATCGCTCCATCTGGCTCACACCATTCACGCGGCTCTCTGTCCTACCCAGACACGTCAGCCCTACCAAGCCGACCAATCATAGAGCTTGCGCTACGCGTCGTTGCGACGTGTAGTTATATTTTTTGAGAGGTGCACGTCAGCGACGCCGATGGCCATGGCGTAGGGCTATGCGTCGACATGTAGGCTGCGCCGTAGCATACGCTTACGTTTGACGCAGAAGTATAAATCAGCCTTTAGTCTGACTCCAATACGAAGAGTTGCTGGTTCAATCCTAGCTCAGAGCGGGTTGGGTGGTGTAGGACCAACTTGTGCAACAAACTGAACGTTATTTACAACTTTATTACCTGTAATTCACAGCCTATGCAGGTTCTGTTCACACATCATTTGCAGGCATGCACGCAATACATCATTACTTGAAGACAGAAATGACATTTTTGGAGGAATTATACCTTATAAATACAGTATGTCACTTTTAACACTACTTTCAGGTGTCCACATCGCTGAGCAATGTACAGTTGTCAGAATTATTAGCCCCCCTGTTTGTTTTTTCCCCCAAAATAATTTTCAAGACATTCCTAAACATAATAGTTTTAATAACTCATCTCTAATAATTGATTTATTTTATCTTTGCCATGATGACAGCACATAATATTTCACTTCTATACAGCTATAAGTGACATGTAAAGGCTTAACTAGGTTAATTAGGTTAACTAGGCAGGTTAGGGTAATTAGCCAAATATTGTATAACTATGGTTTGTTCTGTAGACTGTCGAAAAAACTATATAGCTTAAAGGGGCTAATAATATTGACCTTAAAATATATATATAAAAAAAATTAAAACCGCTTTTATTCTAGCCAAAATAAAACAAATAAGACTTTCTCCAGAGGAAAAAATATTATCAGACATACTGTGAAAATTTCCTTGCTCTGTTAAACATCATTTGGGAAATATTTAAAAAAGAAAAAAAATTCAAAAGGTGGGTTAATAAATCTGACTTCAACTGTATATAAAACAATGTCAAGACTTGTGTGACCGCTTTTATGCTTCTCTCCTGCCCTTGAAAATTAATTGGCTGAATTATAGAGATGATGGATTAAGATTGTGTGGGCGGTCGAATCGAGGTTGTGATCTTTTTTCCGATTAATTCTGCAGCCCTGCTGTTAAATTTAATATTCACAAAACCCTGGAAAAAAAAACACTGATATAACGAGTTATGTATGAGAGCTGCTCTTTAAAGACAATAAAGCAGCTTTAGCCTAATGCAAACAAAAATAGTTTAGTCAAATATAATAAAAAAAATAATACTTTTTAAAGATATACAGGCCTACAGAATATTTTTAGATTGTATGAACATGAATGATTTTCGACCTAACAGCCGCAAAACTACATGCTGAACGCTGTGAGTTTGCGTCAGGATGGTAATACATGGGCCGGATTTTCGAGCAATGCCGGGCAATATTGCAGGGTGTAATGCTGCTTGGCTGCTTTCATAAAACTTAGCAACAAACATTTTACATAGAAGACTTAAATGTAGGGTATTATTGTATCAACAGGAAGTGAGGTCTAGTTACCTACCAATCCTCACTCACTCTTAAGTCCCTGATTTATCGGGGGTCACCACAGTGGAATTAGCCACCACTTATTTCAGCATATGTTTTACACAGATGTTCTTCCAGCCACAACCCAGTACTGGGAAACACTCATAGGCCCCGTTTACACTAATGCGCTTTAGTTTGAAAACGCAGAAGTTTTGCTACGCCATCCGTCCACACTACACCAGAGTTTTCGAGTGCTGAAAACGAAGAGTTTTGGAAACGCTGGAGAGGCTGTTTTTATTCTAAAACGCTGCTGCTCCATCTCAGTGTGGATGAGAGAAAACGGAGACATCTATAAAAGGAGGCGGGGCTGCCAACATTCGCCTATCTGATTGGGGCTTTTGTGTCATTGTGTATCCCTCCCTTATTCGTCAAGCCCCTATCACATGACTATAACACATGGCTTTAACGCTACCAGAAGACAGCAGACCAGCCTTCACTGTAAACAACAACATGGGCACAGAAATGGGAGCGCTGTTTGCACTATTGTCTGTTTTAGGCGCCATTGTGCTGTTATTCAATTGTTACGTTTATTAACAACTCGACCTCGTCGTCTGTCCACAAAAATAACTTTCTTGCTTTCTTTGCCATCGCGTTCATTGTTCAACCGGCGTTTGTTGACTAACAATAAACAAATGTCGAGCGAGACGCATGCTTCCTGTTTGTACTAGAATGTGCATGCCCAGAGTGCGCGAATGGTCACGTGATATACATTTTTGGTGGCGTAGTGTGGATGGTGAAACGCTAGAGTGGACGCGGATCGTTTTTGATCTAAAACGCCGTTTTAAAACGAAAACGCACTAGTGTAAACGGGGCCATGCACTCTTGCATTCACATATGCACTTATACACTACAGCTAATTTAGTTACCTATTCACCCATACTGCATGTCTTTGGACTTTGGGAGGAAACTGGATAGTTACCTGCCCAGTGAAACTAAAACATGTAGTAGTAATGGGTACTTTTTACTGAAGTACATTTTTGAGGCCGTACTTCTTTACTTTTACCCGAGTACAAAAGTGTAGTCAGTACTTTAACTCTTACCATAGTTTTACTTCTACTTGAGTAAAGGTTGTGTGTATCTTTGCCATCTCTGGAGTTTTCTGGGAGGTACATTTTGTTGATGTGTAAACATCTTTACTAACCGAGAACATGACTAAGACCTCTCCACTGCATGAGCTCTAAGATGGATCTTCAGCTCGGAAGTCCTCAAGAATGTTTTGCCGCATTGATCACACTTGTGTGTTTTCTCTCTATTGTGGATCAGCATGTGTGATTTAAGGTGTGCTAACTGCGTAAAACTCTTCCCACATTCAGTACATGTGAACGGTTTCTCTCCAGTGTGAATCCGCTCGTGTGCTTTCAGGATTTGTACATCACCGAATCTCTTGTCGCAGTGTGAACACTTGTACGGTTTCTCTCCACTGTGAGTCCTCTGGTGTCGTTTTAAGTCTGCAACCCTAACAAAAGTCTTCTCACACTTAGTGCAGGCATGCTTTTTCACACCTATGTGGACCATCTGGTGTCGGTTCAAGTCTCCGACTCTAATAAAACTCTTTTCACACTTAGAGCAGGAATACGGCTTCTCGTTTGTGTGACGTCTAAGATGGATGTTCAGCTGTGAAGGCCGCAAGAATGTTTTGTCGCATTGATCACACTTGTGTTTTTTCTCTCCATTGTGGATCATCATGTGTGCATTAAGGTTTCCTAATTGCGTAAAACTCTTCCAACACTGAGTACATGTGAATGTTGCCTTTCCAGTGTGAATCTTCTCGTGTGCGTTCCGACATTCTGACCTACTAAACCTCTTGTCGCAGTGTGAACACTTGTACGGTCTCTCTCCAGTGTGCATCCTCATGTGCAGTTTCAAGTCTTCAGCTCTAAGAAAAGTCTTCTTACACCCAAAGCAGACAAACTCTTTCACGCCAGCGTGGATGAGCCGATGTTTTTGTAAACTCTGCTTATATGCAAATCTCATTGTACATAACGAACATGAAAAAGGCTTCTCTTTTGTATGAAGTCTATAATGGTTCTGCAGCGATGAAAGCCTAGAAAACGTTTTGCCGCATTGATCGCATGTGTTCGGTTTCTCTCCAGTGTGGATCTTATGATGTACTTTTAAATTCGACAGTTGTTTAAAACTCCTCCCACACTCGGCACATGTGTACGGCTGCTCTCCAGTGTGAATCCGCTGATGTTGTCTTAAATTAAACTGTCTATAAAAACTCTTTCCACACAAAGAGCATGCATAGGCCTTCCTGGCATCACTCGGCTCTTCGCTCTCCTCCTGTTTCACAACCAGGTCTGAAAATAAATCAAGAAGATGTTACTTTAGGAGAGAAATGTGAAGTAATGGTTAATCAATGATCTACTAAATGTCAACGACTCTTTAAATGCTTAAATGCTTTCGAGTCAGTCCCTTGACATTATACGAGGGTAACTACAGTACATCTACTTGTGTAGATAATAATAACATAATACTGAACACATTATCGCTGACGCACGACGTGCAAATATTTTTCAATGGAAGTCAATGGAGGAATATGACTAGTCATAATATATTTGCAGATATCTCCAATCTGATTTCGTACTAGTACAATTGTAATTGCAGATATCTCTAATTGTCATTCTGACTAGTCGAATTATAATTATGACGAGTCAAAATATAATTAGAGATATCTCTAAATATATTTACAAGGTTTAAATGCTAAAACGGCTTGCCATACGCTCTCACCCAGTAGCACAGTGGAGAGTTCTCTAGTTATGTCCTTTCAGTCGTTTGTTATGCAGTGATATGCAGTCAAATATTTCGCCAAACAGTCCTTAGGGATGCGGGGACACGCAGTCAGATATTACGCCGAACAGATCCGCCACTTTTGGCGCTCATAAACGATCATTAAGCTCTCTTGCTGCAGGAATGAGGAGGTCTGCTGAAGGCACGCAGCTGTCGTGCAGTGAGGGGTTTGCGTCTTTAATAAACTACGGCAGTTTGCGATCACTGAACAGTAAGAATGATTATTAAATCCATATGAAACAGCCCCTTAAAAGTCACATATCGCTTTCGGTTTCGGGCTTTGCCGCGTTTTGTACTCACACACAAGCGTACCGCGCCAAAGCCCAAGTGAACCGCGCTCAGACACACCTCTTCCAACCGGGCCAGGGCCGGCCAAGTGAACTGTGCTTGAGCCCGATTCAGCGCACTCACACTTCTCAAACGATCCAGGAAACGGGCCTGGGCACGGTGCGGATGGCATAGTGTGAGTAGGCCCTTAGTCTTTGAGACTTTACTGATGTTTTATAAACACAAACAGCTTATCACACTTCAAAGAAAAACATAAAGCTGCATCATACGACTCCTTTAAATATATCATCAACTTTAAATCAACTCTAGAAGGGCTGAATCTGTAGATGATCTACTTACTGTGATAGACTTTTCTGTGTTTTTGTAGAAAAGACGATTGCATGAAACTTTCCCCACAATCAGTGCAGTGATGCGGTTTCCCTCCAGTGTGCGTCTTCATGTGACTCTTCAGAGTGTGTTTGTTCTTGAAAGTCTTTCCACACTGAGTGCAGGTCAAACCTTTAACAGCTGTTCTTTCCATTGAAATACTATCTTCAGTCTCTGATTGAGTTTCTTCTTCACTTTTGACATGATGTTTCTCCTCATCTTCAGTCTCCTCCTTCACCATCACACCTGAAAATAAGTAAAAAAATTAATTGTAAGAGGCTAGTTTTATAAAGAGGCTTCATCAGGGCTCAACAGTGTGAGCATTTCACTTACATTTACAAAAGAATGTGTGCAAACTGAAAAATTAGCATGTGTGTGAATATATAAGATCTATTTTAAAAGAAAATGTAGCCCATCCACTCACATTTTCCACATAAGACATGAGTCTGCTAAACTTTCCACACATTTATTTGCCTGCACAGGAGCAATGCGTTGCAGGATTTACCAAAGCACAAGGTGACCCTTGGTAAGCTAGGTTTTAAACAAAGTAGCATTTAAATGTTCAGACACAAGAGTCTGATTATAAAACACAAATAGCCAGTTATAGCTGAGCTTTCCTGAACATCAGCACATCATGAAATAATCAGACACTGATTTCAAAACGATCAACCGTTGCGGTCAAAGCATTAAGCTACAGAACGGGACGACAATTTGTGGTGCACACAGGTTTCAGGAGACATTCATTATTTTTCCACCACACAAATGGATCATCCTCTCCATTAAATAGATTCTCCTAAAACAGATGAGCATAAAGGCGAACTATAGGCGTCAACACAGTGAGAAAAATCAGTTGGAATTATCTACCACCATATTACTAATTTTAAATAGAAATAAGCAGACATCAGTTTAAAAGATAATGGCTTTTGCTGATGATGATTCGACTTTTAAAGCAAACAATATAAACACAAACCTATTAGTTCTTCAGTGTCTTCCTGTTTAATTCTGCAGGGTTCTGGATCACTCATCTTCTCACTGTCCTTCAATAAACTCTGTCTTTGCAGATTTCTCTTCCTCCTGATGGTCTGATGCTCGTCTTCACTTGTAGAACAGCTGAACTGAAGGAGGACTGCAAGAGAAACGTCAATGAAAGAAATTAATTATGATAGTTGATTTAGTTTAATGAGGTATAAACCGTAACTAATGACGTAAAACTAAATGTTTTCCGTCTCAAACGTTACATTTTGCCGCATTAACAGATCTCATTTTGCAATATTATAACCACAGACGTTAAAAACCGAACACACTAGCACAGATAACGTTAAACACAAACACTGAGATCATATTGTCCTCTCAGAGCTCTCTCTGCCTGCTGTATTGTTTTGGTCAGCAGACACACAGATAGAGGTGAACTCAATGCAGAAACTAGTCACAGATTGTCGCTTTAATAAACTGTAAAGTGTGTTTTATTGTTGTGTAAACACGAGAAAAAGCGTCAACGACTCACCTCAGCTCTGAAGACTCGACGCTAAATGAACGCGTCAGTGCTGACGTCATCACGGCGAGGCGGGAGCAACGGAGGAACTGACAAGCCAAAACAAATGCTTATGTAGAAAAAAAAAGGGTCATGTTAAGTGCACTTTTTTCCAGGTTTGGTTTCTATGCCTCTTTCGCGGTGTAAATATGTTTTAGTGACGTTTTAGCAATATGTGAGACAAAAATTTACCATCAGTAAACACAGTATTAATAGTAAAAAAAGTAATTTTTTTAAATGGACAAACCTGAAACTAATAAAATTATGTATCATGTCATGTAGTTGGTATCAAGTTTAAGAGATAACAAACAAGTTAAACGAATCTTTTTTTCTGAAAAGTGTTAATCTTACCAGAACAGGCACAATTTGTAGGCCTGTATGTAGAAAATCTTCTAAATGTAAGAATAAACGAGATGAATATTCAATTAGAAAAATTTACATTACTTTAAAAGGCAAGATTTGTATTTTGATGAAATATGAATATGAAATAGCTGTAATATGGGTGTATAATATCACAATGTGTGAATTTGCAATAGTCACATCACAAGATCTGCTCATTCATTAATTTTCCTTCGGCTTAGTCCCTTTATTCATCAGGGATCTCCACAGCGGAATGAACCGCCAAATATTCTAGCAAATGTTTTACACAGCGGATGCCCTTCCAGCTGCAATCCAGTACTGGGAAACACTTGGTAAAAACACTTGTTTTTACTTGGCAGAACCGCTGCTCCCAACTTTAAATATGTAGGAGCACCCACCAAATATGAATGAGCACCACTGCAAACTAAACAATAAGGGATTTACTGTATTTGAAAACAACATCAATTAGGACTAACAAAAACCAGAAACAACTAACTAATGCTGTGACGACTTAATATTTGTGCAATAATTCCAAAATGAATATCTAATAAAAATAAAATATTAATGATGACGATGACAGTAACACTAACAATGAATTACATTTCTCATGATTATGCTGCCCTGAATGTGTTTGAGTGCGAGTTATCTGCTGTATGAAGTCCTGCTGTTACTTTATGAAAAATAAATGTGTGGTTTGCATAAACACAAATGAAGCATAGCAGTACGAAATGTTTATTTTGTGCTATTGTTTTTATATGCATGTCAATTTAATAAATACAAAAACAAACGAAAGATTTTAATAAACCATTCAATTTAAGGCTGAAAGCTGCAAAGCAGTAATCAGTGATTAAACAGAAAAATATGTACATCTCAAGAAAGGATGGACAAGAAAAAAGGAAGAAAAGTCTCACTTTTGAAAGTTTTGGTTTCGGTTTGTATCAGATTTTCATCTCTGTGTTTGTAGAAAAAAGCAGGCGAGTCAGCCGACTCAATATATGAAGAGCAGAGCAGGATTCTCCCGATGTCCACTGGCGCAATACCATTCTTTGTTATAAGCCGCATCAGTTTAAACTTAGGCCGTACTCACACTATGTACAGTTGCCTCGAACCGGGCCAAAGCACGCTTGTCCCCCCTCCCGTCTCCTCAGATGGCCCGCACTCACACTACAAACATCCCTAGGCACGCTTACGCCATCGATGCTGCGCTGTTCAGTGAGAAGCGCTCTCGCTCAGCACAGAGGAGATTTCTCTAGTTTTATCGTTTCAGTCGTTTGAAATGCCGTCAAATATTTCGCCAAACAGTCCTTAGGGATGCGGTGACACGCAGTCAGATATTTCGCCGAAAAGATCCGCCACTTTTGGCGCTCATAAACAATCATAAAGCCCTCGTGCTGCAGGTGAATGAGGTGCTGAAGGTGTCGTGCAGTGAGGGGTTTGCGTCTTTAATAATCTAGGGCAGTTTGCGTTCATTAAACGGTAAGATTGATTAATAAATCCATATGAAACAGCCCCTTAAAGTCACGTCTCGCTTTCAGATTTGGGCTTTGGCGCGTTTTGCACTCACACTACAAAAGCCCAAGTTAACCGCGCTCAGGCCCACCTCTTCCAACCAGGCCAGGACCAGCCAAGTGAACCGTGCCTGAGCCCGATTCAGCGCACTCAAACTTCTCAAACAATCCGGGAAACGGGCCTGGGCACGGTTTGCATAGCATAGTGTGAGTAGGCTCTTAGTAAAGGCGAGCTTCTTTGGCGAAGGTGTTCGATTTTAGATTTAGCGAACATTTGCGCTAAACACGCAGTGAATGCAACGCACCGAGATTCGGTGTACTTTTAACTCTTCAGTCTTTTGCATTCGCTGCGGTAACAAAAGCTCCCCGTCATCTGACAGCAGAAAGTCTTGAGTGATTGACAGCTGATATGAACCAATACAGCGGCACGGAAGAGCGATTCAGCACGTTTTTAGAAAAAAACCAAACAGGTCGCACTACAACCATTATATGCAGTCGCACAAATGCTCTAAAATATATCATGAGGTCAAATAGCTTAAATTTCGGGCGCATATGCAACCAAAATGGTCGTAATTTCAAGCCCTGTGATGTTTGTGAAAACACAATGGAGTTTTCTGGGAGGGAAATGATGTTGATGTGTAAACCGAGAACATGACTAAGGCCTCTCCACTGCATGAACTCTAAGATGGCTCTTCACCTCTGACGACCTCAGGAATGTTTTGCTGCAGTGATCACACTTGTGTTTTTTCTCTCCAGTGTGAATCTTCTCATGTACTTTCCGGCATTCTGACCTACCGAATCTCTTGTCGCAGTGTGAACACTTGTAAGGTCTCTCTCCAGTGTGAGTCCTCTCATGCGCGTTCCGGTATTCTGACCTTGCAAATCTCTTGTCGCAGTGTGAGCACTTGTACGGTTTCTCTCCGGTGTGAACCACCTGGTGTCTTTTTAAGTGTTCAACTCTAATAAACGTCTGCTCGCACTCAACGCAGGCATGCTTTTCCACACCAGTGTGGATCATCTGGTGTCGGTTCAAGTCTCCAGCTCTAATAAAACTCTTTCCACACTCAGAGCAGGAATACGGCTTCTCGTTTGTGTGAACACTAAGATGGTTCTTCAGCTGTGAAGACCTCACGAATGCTTTGCCGCATTGATCACATGTGTGTGGTTTCTCTCCAGTGTGGATCTTCATGTGTTGATTAAGGTTTGCTAATAGTGTAAAACTCTTCCGACACTGTGTGCATGTGAATGCTTTCTCTCCGGTGTGGATCAGCATGTGTGCATTAAGGTTTGCTAATTGTATAAAACTCTTCCAACATTCAGTGCATGTGTACGGTCTCTCTCCAGAGTGAATCCGCTCATGTACTTTCCGGCATTCTGACCTACCAAATCTCTTGTCGCAGTGCGAGCACTTGTACGGTTTCTCTCCGGTGTGCGTCTTCATGTGACTCTTCAGAGTGTGTTTGTTCTTGAAACTCTTTCCACACAGAGTGCAGGTCAAATCATTTGCAGCTGGTATTTCCATTAAAATACTTTGTTCAGCCTCTGATTGAGTTTCTTCTTCGCTCTTGACCTGATGTTTCTCCTCATCTTCGCTCAGTTCTTCACTCTCCTCCTTCACCATCACATCTGAAAATAAGTAAATCAATTCATTGTAAGAGTCTAGTGAAGAATCTAAGGATGTTTTTATATTTTATTGTTGTTATTTTAAAATAATTATTGCTTTAATATTTATTTTAATTTTCTATATTGTTATAATCTTATAGCCGTGTGGATTCAAGCGACAGGAGTAAGAGGTAAGAGAATGTCTCCATTTCAAGGTCTGTATTGTCTCTGGACAATAGCCACTTTCACACATACAGACCTTTCCAGAAAACTGCCGGCAATTTTCCGGAAAGGTTGTATGTGTGAACAGGTCTTTTTGAAAATACCTGTAAATTCGTTCTGGCTATTTTCCGGAAAGAGAAGTTGTAACATTACCGGCAATTTGCCGGAATGCTGCGCTGTGTGAATGCAGAAGGAAGATTGCCGTAATAAGCGCGTGCACGTCTAGAACGTGCTGACGTGAGACGTCTGCTTTAGCCAATCACAACAGTCAGACGCATTTACGTCCGCGCGGTTTGTGGGGATAAAAGCCTTTGAATATTTTTCCAGACACATTTAGCTGCTAGAAGTTAGTCAGATCACGTTTATATGTTCTTCTTAATGCCAACTGTGTAAATAATCATCGATGAGATGCTTATGATAAGCCGTTGTTTGTTTACCTTCAAGCTTTGCGTGTGCCTGTGAAACAGCCTGTGAGCGCCTGCACACGCACATATTATGAACATCTCGACATGCGAAAGTGATCCTGCGAAAGCTGTTCACAATATTGATCATCCACAGAGTTTGTAATTTAGTCAAATGTTTACAAATACAAGCGCAGCCGTTTAAAGCTCATTTGTGGTGAATGATGTCAGAATTTACCGGTATTTTGGAATGGATGTGTGAATGCTCTTTTCCGGAAAATTTCCGTGACGTCCTCGCCTGTGTGAACAGCGCTTTTTTGAATATACCGGTAAAGTCGTTCCAGAAATTTGCCAAATATTTACCGGTATCACTGTGTGAAAGGGGCTAAAGTTGTGAAGCAGGAATTTTCCACTGCTCTTCCTGTTGGGGATTTCATTGTGTCTTGATGAATTTCTGATGAATGTATTACTCTCATTTATATGCTTATTTGAGTGATTTCAGTATTATTATCAATTATAGTATTACCCATGCTGTGGCATTATTATCAGGTATGTGTGCTTTGGTAAATCAAAAAGTCATTCTGTGTAAATGCAGTCAGAGATGAGAAGGTAAATTAGAAGAGCAGCATTAATGTCACAATGAGGGCTGATTTATGGAAGCAAGGCCATAAGGACACCTGCGTTCTGTTCTGTAACTCGTGATAAAGCACACCTGCACGTGCGCCCACACACCTGTACTGACATCTAAAGAATTATGAGTACATATGAACTTCAGCTGAACTTACAGTCGACAGTTCAGTGGTCAGTGAACAAGATATATTGTTGAGCATTGTTTTTTGGCTGAGTCACCGCTTTTGAAGCAGGAAGGAAAGACCTTAGCCCCTTTCACACAGTGATACCGGTAAATATCTGGAAAATTTCCGGAACAACTTTACCGGTATATTCAAAAAAGCGCTGTTCACACAGGCGAGGACGTTACGGAAATTTTCCGGAAAAGAGCATTCACACATCCATTCCAAAATACCGGTAAATTCTGACATCATTCACCAGAAATGAGCTCTAAACGGCTGCGCTTGTATTTGTAAACATTTGACTAAATTACAAACTCTGTGGATGATCAATATTGTGAACAGCTTTCGCAGGATCACTTTCGCATGTCGAGATGTTCATAATATGTGCGTGTGCAGGCGCTCACAGGCACACGCAAAGCTTGAAGGTAAACAAACAACGGCTTATCATAAGCATCTCATCGATGATTATTTACACAGTTGGCATTATGAAGAACATATAAACGTGATCTGACTAACTTCTAGCAGCTAAATGCGTCTGGAAAAATATTCAAAGGCTTTTATTCTCACAAACCGCGCGGACGTAAATGCATCTGACTGTTGTGATTGGCTAAAGCAGACGTCTCATGTCAGCACATTCTAGACGTGCACGCGCTTATTACGGAAATCTTCCTTCTGCGTTCACACAGCGCAGCATTCCGGAAAATTGCTGGTAATGTTACAACTCCTCTTTCCAGAAAATAGCCAGAACGAATTTACCGGTATTTTCAAAAAGGACCTGTTCACACATACAACCTTTCCGGGTCTGTATGTGTGAAAGGGGCTCTTAACTGGACATGGGTAAGACCCCTGAAAGACCCTGAGATTCTATTGGTGGCGGGCACCTGAGAGATTTAAGATCCCATTAGCGGAGAAGCTGATGGAGGAGTGTAATGTGTAAATTTGGGTGGAGTATTAAGACACAGAAATGTATTTAAACTGTGTGCAAGCCTGTGTTCGGCAGACACTCGAACGACCTGTCTCTGTTGTTACTGATGCTGTAACAATAAACTGCTTCGTCTAAAGACTTCGGAGATTTCAGACTTTGTCATTTTTAGTTTGACTTAGAGACTTAGAATATTTTTGCAGACCAGAATCTTTTTTCCACAACATTCCTTGTGGTATATTACCACTTGTTGGATTAATCCTGATGAACAGACATCAGTTTAAAAGATAATGGCTTTTGCTGCTGATGATTAGACTTTTAAAGCTTGTTAAGAACGGTGGGATGGCGCCTCTTTCAACATTCGGAGCAAAAAGTAAGTTCAAGTAGCAAAACATATGAAGAGCTTAAAGCTTCACAACCTCACTGTTGTTCAGCCTCAATATTGAAGAGTAATGAATAAACACAAACCTATTAGTTCTTCAGTCTCTTCCGGTTTAATTCTGCAGGGTTCTGGATCACTCATCTTCTCACTGTCCTTCAAGATTCCTGCAAATTAACTACACATCTATACTGATATACTGTATTTAAACAGCAATACATTTTGTTAAATTGACATGCTTATATGAAGCGTAGTGCTAATATAAATACCCCTTTATTACCCACAAGCTGTTAAACGAACAGAAATGGCAGAACGTGGTGACGTCAGTAATATGCAAATTGACGTATGACGTAATCTAGCGACTTTTGGGGCAGAGCTTATCACTTTTTCATTGGAAATAGTTGGCAAAACTGGGAAAGCCTAAATGCTTTCATACAAGTGAATTGAATGACGCGAGAGGTGATCTCTCTGCTATTGTTACAAATTTAGGATTAATCTACAAGTAAAAAAAAAAGATTAATCCACAGGTCACGTGTGTTCCAAACTGTGGGTTGTGATCCGTACACCCTTAATTTATAACTATATATAAATATATATATATATATATATATATATATATATATATATATATATATATATATATGTATATATATATATATATATATATATATATATACATACATACATACATACACATATATATACATATACATACACGATTATTAAGTGTAAAGTCACGCGAAGCGGCTTCCGGGTCCAAGTGCTCTATTCAACTGTATGGGGAGACTCATGAAATGGTAATTATAAACATTTACAAAGCAATTTAATACTTTCTAAAATCACGATCGCAGTATATATGTTCATGCCTAATATCCGATAACCAAAAAGTAATTCATTTTTTTATAAATTGTTAAAATTTTGGTATTTTTATGCAGCAAGGCCAGAGATTGTTGTGTACACTATGACTTTATATAAAATGAACTTTAATGTGTGATATGAATTAAAAGTGATCATAAATAAATAATTTCTCAACTCAAATGAATGGCAGCTTGGACCCTGAAACAGTATTAAATAGTTCACCAAAACATCACTTAACAAGCGGATAATATCCATATATATATATATATATATATATATATATATATATATATATATATATATATATATATATATATATATATATATATTATCTGACTGCTGTTCAGCCTCATTATTGAAGAGTAATGAATAAACACAAACCTATTAGTTCTTCAGTGTCTTCCTGTTTAATTCTGCAGGGTTCTGGATCACTCATCTTCTCACTGTCCTTCAATAAACTCTGTCTTTGCAGATTTCTCTTCTTCCTGATGGTCTGATGCTCGTCTTCACTTGTAGACTGATGGGAATACTCCAGTATTTAGGGCGACGTTGGGAAGAAGAAACTGGTCAGCAAAATAATTAAATTACGATAGTTGAATTAGTATATTGAGATATAAACAGTAACTATTAACATTAAATTTTATGTTTTCAGTCTAAAATGTCACATTTTACCGCATTAATAGATCTTATTCTGCTATATTATTACTCCAAACGTTTAAAACCGAACACACTATAATAACGTTAACAGATAAACACAAGCACTGAGCTCATATTGTCCTCTCAGAGCTGATCTCTGCCTGCTGTAGTGTTTTGGTCAGCAGACACACAGATAGAGGTGAACTCAATGCAGAAACTAGTCGCAGATTGTCGCTTTAATAAACTGTAAAGTGTGTTTTATTGTTGTGTAAACACGAGAAAAAGCGTCAACGACTCACCTCAGCTCTGAAGACTCGACGCTGAATGAACGCGTCAGTGCTGACGTCATCACGGCGAGGCGGGAGCAAATAGGATCGTGAAATATTTGAAATATTTCTGTGATCACCAAACTGAAGATCTGTCTCACCTTTTTTGGAATTGTCAATATACCAAAATTTTTTTGGGGAAAATGTATTAGGTATATTTAGTGGTATAATTCCTGATGTTATATTAAAATATGAAAATGTTATTTTAGGATATAACCATCAAAATGATCATCCAGATGCTTTTTAATTATTTAATCCTATAATGTTTCTGGCCAAATATTTTATACACAAGTGTAAATTTTGTAAGCGCAAGCCTTTCAGATTTTTCTTGAAGATCTAAATCTTTGTCTGTGATTTCTGAATGTACTAACAAAAAAGCTGTTAAAACTGTGAATCTGTTTAAAATATACATTTCTGTTTTGATCCTGAGGTGGATTTTACACTCCTTAAAGTGTGAAGTTAATCTATATATTCAAATTGTATGTGTATAATCTGCTTGTAGACTTGCATACCATTAAAAGAATTAAGGTGCTATAGAAAGGGTCATAAAAAGAAGTGGATGAGAAGACAGCAGGACAAAGCCTGAGTAAACAACTAAGGTATCTCAGGAAATGGATAAGAATAGAGCAACACATGTGTAAACAGATGACAGAGGTGGAATTTGGAGTCAAGGGTTAAACTAGGGGGGTCTTGTGTGATATAAGTAGAAATAAGGGAAAAATAGATGACAGAGGTGGAATTTGGAGTCAAGGGTTAAACTAGGAGGGATCTTGTGTGACATATGTACAACAAAGGAAAAAACAGAGTATTTAAGGAGGGCAGAAGATGAGTGAGACAGAATTTTTCAGACAGAGATGCTACTGGGGGTCTCCTGAAAGTTCTCCTTTGTTGTCGACAATAAAGTATATTCTTCTGATATTCATAACCTCCAGACTGAGTTTGATTTAGTAAGAGAAAAACCAAGAAAACCACTACAATCCCTGGCATGTAACGTAATATAATGTAATGTAAATGTTTCAGTTTGTTAAAATAAAAAATAAAAGGATTGTGAAATATGCGCCAAACTAATAACCTTTTACTAAACAATTGCTAATGTAGACAAAATAGTTATCTTAAGCCAGGGGTGTCAAACTCAATTCCTGGAGGGCCGAAGCCCTGCACAGTTTAGTTCCAACCCTGCTCCAACACACTTACCTGTAGGTTTCAAACAACCCTGAGGCACTCAATTAGTTTGATCAGGTGTGTTTAATTAGGGTTGGAACTAAACTGTGCAGAGCTGCGGCCCTTTTGGAACTGAGTTTGACACCTGTGTCTTAAGCGATCATTTTTGTGAATTTATATCTGGAGGTTTGGTTTATGTGCCTCTTCAGTGGTGTAAAGCTGTTTTTAGCAACGTGTGAGGTAAAAAAAAAACTATCTACCATCAGTAAACAAACGCTTTTAACAAAGTATTAAAGATGATTAACTAAACGTAACATTTAAAAACGGACTACCTGAAACTAATAAACATATGTATCATATCGTGTAGTTGGTATCGAGTTTAAGAGATAACAAACAAGTTAAATATTTTTTTCCTTAAAAGTGTAGTTACCCTTACCTGAACAAGCACAATCTGTAGGCCTATAAGCAGAAAATTCACTAAATGTAAAATTAAAGGAGATGAATATGCATTTAGAACTTCTACATTACTCAAGATTTGCATTTTGATAAAATATGAATATAAAATTAGCTGAAATATGGCTGTTTAATGTCGCAATGTGTGAATCCGCAATTGTCACATCACAGGATCTGCAACGTTGAGTTCATTCATTTATTTTCCTTCAGCTTAGTCCATTTATTCATCAGGGGAATGAACCGCCAACTCATCCAGCATGTTTTACACAGCGGATGCCCTTCCAGCTGCAATCCAGTACTGGGAAACACCCATACACACTAATATACTACGGTCAATTTAGTTTTTTCAATTCACCTATAGCGCATGTGTTTGGACTGTGGGGGAAACCGAAGCACATGTAGGAAACCCACGCCAACATGGGAAGAACATGCAAACTCCACACAGAAATGCCAACGGGCTGAACCAGGACTCAAACCAGCAACCTTCTTGCTATGAGGTGACAGTGCTAACCACTGAGCCACCATGTCACCCCGCAATGTCAAGCAGTCCTCTTAGTTATAATTAAGAATTTAAACAGAAAACAGTTCAGAAACACATGCATAGTTTAATCCAAACAGAGTGAGTTATTTTTTAAGGCAAGTGTAGATGAAACAAGTATGGGTGTTGTTCAATAATTTTAGGACAACTTTAATTAAAGCATTTCAGATGTTGACCACTGTAAACAATGTTATCCTACATCTGATTATTACATTTCTGTACCTCAATACTGTTAAAACTGTCCAGAAAACCCCTAATAACAGTTTATTTCATGAGTATCTTTGCTCTCTCGTGTTAATTTATGCTTGTGATTTGTTTATATGTTATGCAGATGCACTCCTCCTGATCAATGACAAGTGAAGAACTCTTCCCAGACAGAGACGTTTAAGGGTGCTTTCACATCTGTAGTTCGCTTTATTTGGTCCAGACCAAGTGCAATAAATGATACATTGTTGCATTTTCTGCCATCTTTGGGTCGTTTTCACACCACACTGCTGGCTTTGGTCCGAACCAGTTAAAACGAACCAAAATGCAGTCATGTGACAAAATCCACATCTCTCATTGGCCAGATGTTATTGAACATATTTCCTAAACTGCTTATTGATTGGTCAGAATTCACGTGCGGGAAAATGCATGTGAACTTCCGCAGGTAAACAAAACCTTTAACTCTGGAGGGACGACTGCGCTGGCTGATTGTATCCCTGCTTTAGACAAACTATACATTACGAAAAAGAAGCGCGGCCGAGGCTGGAAAACAGTGTTTAATACATCGCTCGTCACTTCAGGAGGAGGCGTGAATTAATTTTGCTAAACTGCGACATGGTCATCTTGCGGAAATATTACCAACGATCCATCAGGTAATGTTTTCCCATCTCTCTCTGTTGGTAAAGCGCTGCCAACAAATATTTTTCCTCCATATCCCATAATGCACAGCGCATCGGCCTACGGCAGCTGAATTAGTTCAAAACGCGCAGTACTTTTTGCGGTTGGACCTGTTTTAGCATGGATCATATTCTCACCACAAACGAACCCCTCCAGAGTTCGTTTAAAAGCGTACCGAGACCACCTCTTCAAGCAGGTCTTGGTACGCTTTTTTGGTCCGCTATTGGTGCGCACTCGAGTACGATTACTGCATTCTCACCTGCCCAAACAAACCACACCAAAAGGGGAAACGAACTCTAGAGCGATTCAATCGAACTAAATTAGGCAGGTGTGAAAGCACCCTAACTCAGATCACAAAACATCTCAGAAATACTAAATACTACAATGTCGGTTTTTCCAGTATGGTGCAGCTCCAATATACATGACTGAGTGATGGTGGCGTGACACACATTTTTAGGAGTGTCCTCTACATTTATCCACAAACTACTCATTTTTTAGACACAATTAAATTCATTCAGCAACTTCACATGCTGATCTCTTCTTCTGCACTGTTTCTTCACGACAGAACCGATGCTGGAAATAATATTACAAAGGCGAGTGTGTCTAATATAAAAGCCTCCACAACTCTATCTCCAGCTTAAAGAGAGAAAGGTATAAAATAATCATTCAACTAATGAAGACTGTAGAAAGCAAACGCTGAATCCTGGACATCTCAGGAAATGTAGAAATCAATGCAGGTGCATTCAGTCCTCAAAAACAGACATGTGCAGGAAAATATGGACATATGCTAAACTATTAAATCTGATGTTTGTGAAAACACAATGGAGTTTTCTGGGAGGTAAATGACGTTGATGTGTAAACATCTTTACTAACATGACTAAGACCTCTCCACTGCATGAACTCTAAGATGGCTCTTCACCTCTGAAGACCTCAGGAATGTTTTGCCGCAGTGATCACACTTGTGTTTTTTCTCTCCATTGTGGATCAGCATGTGTGATTTAAGGTTTGATAATTGGGTAAAACTCTTCCAACATTCAGTGCATGTGTACGGTTTCTCTCCGGTGTGAATCCGCTCATGTGCTTTCCGGCATTCCAACCTGGCAAAGCTCTTGTCGCAGTGTGAGCACTTGTGCGGTTTCTCTCCACTGTGAACCACCTGGTGTCTTTTCAAGTGTCCAACACTGATAAAAGTCTTCTTACACTCAAAGCACGCAAACTCTTTCACACCAGTGTGGATCTGCTCATGTTTTTTTAAACATTTCTTAAATGTAAAACTCTTTCCACATAACAAACATGAATAAGGCCTGTCGTTTGAATGAATTCTAAGATGAGCCTTCAGGTCTGCACGCCTCAAGAATGCTTTGCCGCATTGATCACACGTGTGTGTTCTCTCTCCAGTGTGGATCACCACGTGTTCATTAAGTTTTGATGAATATCTGAAGCTCTTCCCGCACTGAGTACATGAGTACGGTTTCTCTCGAGTGTGAGTCCGCTCATGTACTTTCAGGATTTGTAAAAGACCGAATCTCTTGTCGCAGTGTGAACACTTGTACGGTTTCTCTCCACTGTGAGTCCTCTGGTGTCGGTTTAAGTCTCCAACTCTAATAAAAGTCTTCTCGCACTCAACGCAGGCATGCTTTTTCACACCTATGTGGACCATCTGGTGCGAGTTCAAGTCTCCAGCTCTAATACAACTCTTTCCGCACTCAGAGCAGGAATACGGCTTCTCGTTTGTGTGCCGTCTAAGATGGATCTTCAGCTCTGAACGCCTTGAAAATATTTTGCCGCATCGATCACAAGTGTACGGTTTCTCTTCAGTGTGAGTCATCTGATGCTGTTTTAAGTTTGACTCAAATTTAAAACTCCTCCCACACTGAGTGCATGCGTACGGTTTCTCTTCGGTGTGAATCATCTGATGTTGTCTTAACTTTGACTGAAATTTAAAACTCTTTCCACACAAAGAGCATGGATAGGTCTCCTTGGCTTCACTCGGCTCTTTGCTCTCCTCCTGTTTCACAACCAGGTCTGAAAATACATTAAGAAAAAAGTCACTTTAGGAGAGAAATGTGAAGCAATGATTAATCAATGATCTACTGTTACATATTGAGCAACATTATTTTTGACAATGCTAGTGTGTATTGTTCCTGTGTGTGTTTCCTCCATTATCTATCTCTTTCTCTCTCTCTCTCTCCACATGAGCGGAGATCAGGTGCAGCTGTGAAAGGGGCGGCACCAGCTATAAAGGCACGCCGTTGACGCTCCTTGAGTTCTCTTCCTGTTTCCCCTCGCTATTGTGTGTGTGTGTCTGAGCAGTTCGCTCTGAGTTCTCTGTGTGGCAGTGATCTGTCTGAAACCTTTTTTCCAAAGTAATCTGGTGAGATACTCTGTTAAATACGGAAATAGGCATTAGCGGTGGCTGATTGTTTAATGCCTTTCTACGACCCTGTTTCAAAGTCATCTGGTGAGATACTCTGTTAAATACGGTACTAGGACAGTATCATAGATATATACACTAGATGTCACCTGGCCTAATGTTGTCTATTGGACGGAATGCGTCAATATCGCCGCCATCTTGCTACAGGGTAGCGCTCCTTGGAAATGAATGCGGGACAAAGGTACAGTGGAGGACTGTGGCCATCCAAAGCCAGAGATATACACATATAAACATATATCTGTGATCGGGAGTTTTCCTGGATGTTAGTATGTAATTTTTTTTCGAATTACGAAACTTATAATTTTACATCACTTTTCTTCATTGATAGATCAGTGACCGCACGGGCATTCCTGACAAAAAGCTTGTGTTTGTGTGTACAGAAATGTACTATCCACCCTTCCTGTTAAATTTGATCTAATCATGTCCTGAAACACAGCTCCTCTCCTGCTTTCACTTCTCATACTGACGGAGGGAGCGATTCGTTTGTGAATGAATCTCTGTTATGAACGACTCGTTCACTAGCCGACAATAATACAAGTTTCTGGCAGCGCAGCATCTCGTTGTCGTATTTCTTTTGCATTGTTTGCTGATTTTATTCAACAAAACTAGCATAAGCCGAGTGTTTAGTGCGAGTTGGAGCTGCTTTGCCGTATGGTGAATGCAGTAAGTGACTGTCATCATCAATAACGTTACCTGATTAGCACAAAAGTTCAGAACATACAAAAACAGAAAAAAACTTAATCTGACCAATGAAATGTTCTGCCTTTGTGCTTTGATTTCTTTGTTTGCTCATTTCTACACCCGTAGACAGCGCTAAAGTCCAGCATCTTCACGTAATAACATTGTCTTGACTAGTGCGGTTGAATGACGCTTGTCCTGGGAGCACGGTACCAATGTGGCGGCGCTATTGACGCATGCTCAGGGTCCCTATGCGATATCTAGTGTATATATCTATGGGACGGTATCATGTGTTAGCTGTGGCTAATATTTACCTTAATGCTGAATGATCAAAGGGAAGGCCCTTTTTCTTTTGTCCAGTTTTCTCCTGTTTTGTGGTTAGTTATGGAGGGTGGAATTGTATGCTTTATTTATGGTTGGTATAGGTAAGAAGTTTAATATTAGGTAGCGTACCTTGTTTTGTTTGTTGTTTTGGCCTTTTTGTTCCCTGATTCTGATATTGATCTTTTTGTTTAATAAATCTATTACCCCTTTTGACAGCTTGGCCTGTGTGTGTGTGTGCTTAGGGAGCAGGAACGGGGACTCCGGGTGACCTCTTTTTATAGCGGTCATCCTTAAACTTATGTGCGTAGCGGGGTGCATCCGCTACGTAACATCTACTAAATGTCAACGACTCTTTAAATCGATGGTCAATTATTTCATGCTTTCGAGTCAGTCTCTTGAAACTACGTGGGGGAACTACATAATTTAGACCAGGGGTCACCAAACTTGTTTCTGGAGGTCTGGTGTCCTGCAGATTTTAGCTCCAACGCTAATTGAACACACCTGAACAAGCTAATCAAGGTCTTAATAGGTATACTTAAAACACCCAGGCAGGCAGGTGTTGAGGCAAGTTCACATGAGTAAAATATTTTTTTATAATCACAAAAAATGTTCACGTGCTCAAAATAAAAATACATTTTCATAAAATACATTTCACAAATGCAAAACACCATTTGCAAATGTATAAGAGTGTACAAAATGTTTAGAATGTTTAAAACTTGCGAGTTTATCCTGAATGAGAATGTGCAAATCCTCTTTCACGTACGACTCCCCCTGGATACGTGTGTGTGTATTTTTGAGACTTTACTGCCAGAGGCAGGGTAACTCGTACCTTTCAGCCAATCAGATGAGAGCTGTAGTCAATGACACCCACTCTGCGCTTCATTTGTGCAGACTGTTTCTCTCCAGCATGGCGAATGGAGAAAGCAGCAGTCGCAGTTTTTTTCATTTATTTAATTATTTGACCATAGCCTCACTCTTTTTATCCATTATTTTTCCTTCTTATTTATTGAACCGAATTTTTATTATACCGAATTATTATTATACCGTACCACTTTTTCGGGACACTTTCGAAAAACTGCAGAAAGGGTGCCATAAGGTGGAGCTACACGCGCAGATGAACGCTATTTGTTTACAGAGATACGTCATTTGTAGACTCAACAAGCTAGAATGTAAACAAAGGACCCGCCATGTTTGAAATACACAGCGAGAGATTACAGCGGAAATATAAATACATATGCAGCCATGGTCGGTCCTGCAAACAAACCCTTTTGTCGTCATGATAAACAGCCACAAAACCATGGAGATGAGCAGATTCACCCTGTGCCGCGTAGTTTTCAACGAGCCAGTCTGAAACCCGAGTGGTTTCGCTTTCTTTCTTGCGCTCGCCGCGCGTCTCTATCTGAAATAACAAACTTCTTGATCTGATAATAATAACATGCACTTGATTATTGACAAGCTTTGGAAACCCGATCCTGTGAGAAGCTGACAAACGCGAGTGATACATTCAAAAAGAAAAGGACAAACGCGAGAGTGGAGCGCGGGAAGAAAGGCGAAGCCAATGAGCACGTTATTTCTTCAGCAAACGTGAACAAACTGCCTTGTTGAAATCTTTATTATCACCTTTTGGACTAATATGAAGTGGGAATGATGGAATGACTCTCTAACAGAGGCTACATGACATGTGCTACTGAAGATTACAGACACAGATGAGAGGTTTGCACTGACTGTAGGCTATACTTTGTGTTGTTTTGAACCTAATTAAGGACGAAATGTCTGCTTTTAGTAGTTCTTCTGTAGTTGGTAACATATCGGAGACTGTAAGGGGCTGTATGTGTTCATATATGTTCATTTATTTATTTATTTAATATAATTACAGACGTTACAGTAGGCTATTTCGCACCGTCATTGATCTGCAGTTATAATTAACTCCTGTTTATAGAAAAGTTAGTAATGAACATTTATACACAAGTATTTATGTGTAAAGCATCTGTTTTGTGAGAAGTGCTTTTCATATGATATGTGAGCGACCTGTGCAGCTTTACTGTAGACATTTTCTTGAGCAAAAATGACGTCGACTGAAACTTTGTCATACACCACGCCCACCAAAAGGGTACCCTTGCTAGTGGAAACACAAGCCTGATACAGGTGACCCATGCCGACCCGAACCGTACCGTACTGTACCAGTCAGTGGAAACTTAGTTTCCCCATGTGGCTGAATGATTAGGTAATCTACTTACTGTGATATTTTTTTCTGTGTCTTCGTAGAGAAGTTGACCGTGTGAAACTCTTCCCACAATCAGTGCAGTGATGCGGTTTCTCTCTAGTGTGCGTCCTTATATGACTCTTCAGAGTGTGTTTGTTCTTGAAAGTCTTTCCACACTGAGTGCAGATCAAACCATTTACAGCTGGTATTTCCATTGAAATACTATGTTCAGCCTCTGATTGAGTTTCTTCTTCACTCTTGACATGATGTTTCTCCTCATCTTCAGTCTCCTCCTTCACACCTGAAAATAAGTAAATTAATTAATTGTAAAAAAAAAATAAAAAACAATTACTAATACTACTAATACTTCCCTTCTTAGACTTTACAGACCTGAAACTTGCCTATGGCACTTATTCATTGTTTCTCTTAGTTGTGAAAATTGCTTCCTTGTCCTCATTTGTAAGTCGCTTTGGATAAAAGCGTCTGCTAAATGACAATGTAAATGTAAATGAAGCAAGTTTTTTAACAGTTTGATGTTTTATCAGGGCTCAACAGTGTGAGCATTTCACTTACATCTACAACAAAAAACAGATGTGTGCGAACTGTAAAATAACAGACTAAAATCTCCACATATGAGCTCTGAATCGACCATAGCACAAAAGCAGCGGAGTGCGCCGTCGACTTGCTTGCTTTTGAATAATCGGCATTTAAATTTGCAGACACAAGAGTCTGATTATAAAACACAAATACTCAGTTTGAGCTGAGCTTTCTTGAACATCAGCACATCATGAAAGAATCAGACACTGGTTTCAAAACGATCAACCCTTGTGGTCAAAGCATTAGGCTAAAGAATCGGGACGACATTTTGCAGCGCAACAAACTGGAGGCATGCACAAACATTTTCAGGGCTAAAGAGACTTTCATTTTTTATCTGTTTTCATGATTTTAAGCGGATTCTACCAGAACAGACAAACATAAAGGCAAGCTACAGACGGTAACACAGTGAGGAGGGTTAGATTGAGAGACTCTTTTAAATTATTATACTGAAATGTATTAATTTAATACAGCTTGATACGAACTGTAAGGCGCTACTATTACTGTTTGGCCAAATCAAAAGTTCAAGTAGCAAAACTTATGAAGAGCTGAAAGCCTTATTGTTGTTCAGCCTCATTATTGAAGAGTAATGAATAAACACAAACCTATTAGTTCTTCAGTGTCTTCCTGTTTAATTCTGCAGGGTTCTGGATCACTCATCTTCTCACTGTCCTTCAATAAACTCTGTCTTTGCAGATTTCTCTTCTTCCTGATGGTCTGATGCTCGTCTTCACTTGTAGACTGATGGGAATACTCCAGTATTTACAGCTGCACTCAAGGAAAATGACCATCAAATAAAAAAAAACAAAAAAAAAACACCTAATAAATAAATAAGTATAATCTTACAAATATAGAAATCAGATTGTGAAAGCTTCTATGAGGTAACTATGTGAAATAACAACGAAACTGTAAAATCCTAAACTTTCAGAATTAATGAGCACCACAAATCAATAATTGAATGTTTTCAGTGTGAAACCCAATTTATCTGCTAAATTCTCATTAAATACACAGATCACGGTTTGCGATGTTATTACTGTAAAAAAGCATACACTTACAAAGAAACACAACATTGAGCTCATGTTTTCCTCAGAGCTCCTCTCCGCCTGCTGTGTTGTTTTGGTCAGCAGACACACAGATAGAGGTGAACTCAATGCAGAAACTAGTCGCAGATTGTCGCTTTAATAAACTGTAAAGTGTGTTTTATTGATGTGTAAACACGAGAAAAAGCGTCAACGACTCACCTCAGCTCAGCTCTGAAGACTCGACGCTGAATGAACGCGTCAGTGCTGACGTCATCACGGCGAGGCAGGCGCGACGGCGGATCATCAAAAATACGCCAAAATACAATACTGTCAACAAACCAAATGTAAAGGAAAACAAAAAAAAACAAAACATCTTAATCTTCAGATAAAGATTCTATAACGACCGTTGCGGTCGTTCTGAGCGTTCTCATACAAGACGTCATATTGTCGCTTATTTACATTCAAAGCTTCCATTGAGATACAATAAAAATTAAGCTTTGAGCTTCATATTTAAAGTCGTTACACACAAAATGTTTTAGTAATACAGCCTGTAAACTTGTAGTTAGATTACTAGACCAAACGACTCACTTTCATTTTCACTTTCTCAAGCAGTAGAGTAGGCTGTTTAGAAAGACATATGAAGTTATGTTTTTGCTAGGCATGGGATGATAACCACGGGCGTTGCCGTTGCTAGACAAAGCTCTACTGGGACTCTACTACTTCCAAAAAAAAAAAAAAAAAAAAAAATATATATATATATATATATATATATACACACACACACACACACATGCGAGGCAGTGGCGCAGTGCTGTCGCCTCACAGCAAGAAGGTCGCTGGTTCGATCCTCGGCTCAGTTGGCGTTTCTGTGTGGAGTTTGCATGTTCTCCCTGCGTTCGCGTGGGTGCTCCGGTTTTCCCCCCAGTCCAAAGACATGCGGTACAGGTGAATTGGGTAGGTTAAATTGTCCATAGTGTATGAGTGTGAATGTGTGTGTGGATGTTTCCCAGAGATGGGTTGCAGCTGGAAGGGCATCCACTGCGTAAAAACTTGCGGGATAAGCTGGCGGTTCATTCTGCTGTGGCGACCCCGGATTAATAAAGGGACTAGGCCGACAAGAAAATGAATCAATACATACACACACACATATATATATATATATATATATATATATAGAGAAAGAGAGAGAGAGAGAGAGAGAGAGAGTTGCAATCGGAATTAAGTAACCCCCTGAATTATTAGCCCATTTATTTCCCCCCCCCCCCCCCCCAATTTCTGTTTAACTGACAGATTTTTTTTTTCAACACATTTCTAGACAAGTTTTAATAACTCATCTCTAATAGCTGATTTATTTTCTCTTTGCCATGATGACAGTAAATAATATTTGACTAGATATTCTTCAAGACACTTCTTTACATCTTAAAGTGGCATTTAAAGGCTTATATATAAAAATTAATCCTAAATGTAACTGGAATGTAACAATCTAAAGACACAACTGCTAAGATGCTAAGACAATTTAAGAAATCTTTTGCATGAATATTAGTTTTTTTGAAAGAAATTCTATAGACAATTGACGTTTTATAGAATTATTTGTTGTGTGTTGTCTTACACCGAACTCGTGGGCGAGAATAAGGTTTATTAAGTCTTACCTTACGGACTCGTCATCCCTCCTTTTTTCCTTTATGCACAAAATCTATCAGGAGCCATGCTTAGTCTAAACAATATTATCATCATATTATTTAAAGGGCACATAGTTTACCCCTGTTTTATGATTTAATATTAATATTATGGTTACTCTGAGTGTGCCAGTTTAGGTTCAGTTCAAAACACAGTTCAGATTTTTTTTATTATAATGTGTTAAAAAGTGTGATGTTGGGGGTGTGTCCACAGCTCGCTGTTTTAGAGGTGTGTTACTTCACATGAAAATTAGTTTTGACTTCCCGCCCAACGTAACAAGGGGGCGGAGCCAAGAGCTCCCTCACTCTGTGTTTAGAAACAGACAGACAGAGAGAAGCAACAGTGAGAGGATCAGCATTCAGCTTTACATGTACGACTCAGACACAGACCAAGCAGAGAGAACAAAATCATTTGTGTCTTTGTTTAGTTTTACAGCCAACTGTATGCTAGTTTAAAGTTTTGCGCTTGTACACCAACACTTACTGGATTAACTTTGACTGAGGCACCAGATGCGCCGTGATACGGCACACCAGACACGCACATTCAGACGTTATTTTTTTTATTTATTTTTTTAAATTATTTTCTTTTAGGGGTTTTCACCTTTATTTGGCTAGGACAGTGGAGATTTTACAGACAGGAAAGAGTGGGGAGCAGAAATAGGGAAAGGATCGGCAAAGGACCTCGAGCCGGGAATCGAACTCGGGTCGCCGTGAGCACCTAGGTGCTATGTGTCGACGCACTAACCACTAGGCTATTACCGCCGACTATTCAGACGTTATTTAAAAGAAACTATTCAGATGGCGCTCTGTGGCGCGGCAGAAACTTTAAGTGTCCTGAATCGTGGCAGGGCTCCGCGCACCCAGTATGTCCTGGGTCTTCCCCGAGGCCTCCTCCCAGTGGGACATGCCATGAACACCTCCCTAGGTAGGAGTCCAGGAGGCATCCAAAACAGATGCCCGAGCCACCCCAGCTGACTTCTTTCGATGTGGAGGAGCATGGGCTTTACTCTGGGCTCCTCTCGGGTGACAGAGCTCCTCATCCTGTCTATAAGGGTGCGCCCTGCCACCCTGTGAAGGAAACCCATTTCGGCTGCTTGTATCTGAGATCTTGTCCTTTCGGTCCAGACTAGGGTTGTAACGGTATGAATTTTTTACGGTATGATAATCGTCTAAAACAATACCACGGTTTGACGGTTTCGCGGTATACGGTATTAAACAGGAATTCTCATAGCAAAGACCCTGAAAAGAATAAGAACACGTTTTCTGACTGAACAAAGGTTTTATTTCAACAAACTTTTGAAAGAACCATTTTAATAGAACTATAGAAGTCTTTTATAAAAATAAACTGAAAAATCTCCCATTTTAATAAATTAAATTAGAAGGAATAAACAAGCAAGGTCTTTTAAGATTAGACAAAAATAAACTTAAACTGTCCTTCCTTATAAGCAGGATAAATGGGAGACCAAAAGTGCAATACCAAGTTTATGGCTGTAAACATGTATTTAAAGCGTTGTTTTTTTCAGTCTGGGTTGTGATGAAGAAATGTAAGCATGTTGAGATTTTCAGGACTTAATCTTGACCGCTGAGGTGAGAGAATGTGTCCACTTGTACAATGAACAAATAAAAAAATAAGAAAATAATAAATAATGTGTCAAAGTCCAAATAAACATGGTGCAAATCCTCAGTAAAAAATAGATATAAATATTTACTATACTATAAATAGTTACATAACGAAACTAGATTCAATATGGACCATCCTTAGGTTTTATGTGCCAGCATGGATATGGTTGTCTGTGGATATGGATTTGGATATGGTTGTCTGCAATGCAGACAAACAGCTGCACCTTCATTTGTGTCTTTTGAAAACAGCAAGAGCAGCAGTTCGTCTTTGCTGTGTCACTGTTTTGTCATGTTTCTGTGCTGCTGTGCATGCAAAAGTACTTAGTATGAGAATTATTTCATGCAAAACTTTTTTTTTGCGTTTTATTTAGCCGCGCATAAATGTATGCCTATCTCTCATTCCGTGTTGTTCAAAAAGCTCATTGTTGGTCCACAAACAAAAGCGAAACCTATGCTTATTGGTTGTGATATAGCGAGTTTGAACCAATCTGGGCATGGAGGAGGGACAATGCATCAATGTATCATGTCTGGTTTGTCCGGAGACACAGTGACGAGCGTTTCTTTGTCAAATCAGCTTTGTCAAATTTTGATGACGTAACCGCACTGATTCCGGAGCCTCTGAAAGTCCGCGAATGTTATGTGATACAGCACTGGAAAGCTGAGATTCTCTTCTTTATGCCAATCTTTGAATTGTATGAATCGGATCAGCGGATCAAAAGTTATTAAACATTTAAGAGCAATACTTATTTTTAGCCGCGGGCGGCTGTCTCGGTCTTTAAGGGTTAAAACCGTTGATATGCAATTGTTCATGGTATGATAATCGTGCACGTTCAAATCGTGGTAAACCGTCATACCGGTATATTGTTACAACCCTAGTCCAGACCCAAAGCTCATGATCATAGGTGAGAGTAGGAACGTAGATCGACCGGTAAATCGAAAGCTCGAATTGGAACCACTTAAAACTTTTGAGAATCGGAGGAAGTTTCTGATGGGGCTAAAGAGCATGAATAAGGCTTCTTCTTTGCATGAACTCTAAGATGGATCTTCAGCTCTGAAGCTCTCAAGAATGTTTTGCCGCATTGATCACACTTGTGTGGTCTCTCTCCAGTGTGGATCAGCATGTGTTGATGAAGGTGTGATACTTGTCCAAAACTCTTCCCACATGGAGTACACGTGAAGGGTTTCTCTCCTGTGTGAGTCCTCTTGTGTGTTTTCAGGGATTGTGACCAACCAAATTCCTTGCCGCAGTGTGCACACTGGTACGGTTTCTCTCCAGTGTGAATCCTCTGGTGTTGTTTCAAGTGTCCATCCCTGATAAAAGTCTTCCCACACTCAAAGCACACAAACTCTCTCAGTCCAGTGTGGATCTTCTGATGGTCTTTTAGATTTGATTGATGCGCAAAACTCTTCCCACACTCAGAGCATGAGTAAGGCTTCTCCTTTGTATGAACTCTAAGATGGTCCTTCAGGTCGGAAGCCCTTGCAAATGCTTTGCCGCACTGATCACAGTTGTGTGGTTTCTCTCCGGTGTGGATCAGCATGTGTTGATTAAAATGTGATGACTGAGTGAAACTCCTCCCACATTCAAGGCAAATGAATAACTCCTCTCCAGTGTGAATCCTCTGGTGTAGTCTTAATGTAGTCTGATGTTTAAAACTCTTTCCACACAAAACATGAATACGGTTTCTCCTTTGTATGGACGCTAAGGTGGATCTTCTCGGCCTCACTCTGTGCTTCACTCTCCTCCTGCACCAGCAGGTCTGAAAAAGTAAAGAGAAAACAATTGAATTTATAAGAGTGATATGAAGGAAGCAAAGGATTAATCATTGATCAAATAAATGCCGATGACCTTTTAGACCAGGGGTGCCCAAACTAGGTCCTGGAGGG